CCCCACGGGCTCCCCGTGTCCCCTTGTCCCCATCCCTTGGGGCGCCCAGAGCTCCCCTTACCCCACGGGATCCCCGTGTCCCCATCCCTTGGGGTGCCCAGAGCGCCCCTTACCCCACGGGATCCCCGTGTCCCCTTGTCCCCATCCCTTGGGGCACCCAGAGCTCCCCTTACCCCACGGGATCCCCGTGTCCCCATCCCTTGGGGTGCCCAGAGCGCCCCTTACCCCATGGAATCCCCGTGTCCCCTTGTCCCCATCCCTCGGGGTGCCCAGAGCTCCCCTTACCCCACGGGCTCCCCGTGTCCCCATCACCCCTTGGCCCCGCAGGTCCCATCACTCCGAAGACGTACGCGGTGCTGCCGTGCGGGGGCATCGGGGTGAGTCTGGGGGCAGGGCTGGGGGTCCCCGGGGGCCGTGCCCCGCTGAGCGCCGCTGTCCCCGCAGGTGGACAGTGACACGGTGTGGAACGAGCTGCACTCGTCCAGCGCCGTGCGCACGGCCGTGGGCTGCCTGCTCGAGCTGGCCTTCAAGGTGGCCGCGGGCGAGGTCAAGGTGAGTGCGTGTCACCGTCACTCGGCCTCCCGCACGTGTCCCTGCCTGTCCCCTGCGTGTCCCAGCTGTGTCCCAGTGCCACCCTGCCTCTGTCACACACACACACACCTCAGTGTCCCACCCGTGTCCCTCCCTGTCCCACCCCTGTCCCTCTGTCCCATCTGTGTCCCAGTGCCACACGTGTCTCTGTGTCACACACACACCTCAGTGTCCCACCCCTGTTCCTCTGTGTCCCCCCCCGTCCCAATGCCACTCCTGTCCCTCTGTGTCCCACCAGTGTCACTGTGTCCCACCGTGTCCCTCTCTGTCCCCCAGAATGGCTTTGCCGTCATCCGTCCCCCAGGCCACCACGCCGAGGAGTCCACGGCCATGTGAGTACAGGGACGGGGTGGGACCCCTGCCCAGGGCCACCCCCCGCCCAGGGCCACCCCTCCACCCATGTCCCTTGTCCCCAGGGGCTTCTGCTTCTTCAACTCGGTGGCCATCTCGGCCAAGCTGCTGCAGCAGCGGCTCAGCGTGGGCAGGATCCTCATCGTGGACTGGGTAAGGGGGGACCCCGCAGGCCGTGGGGAGCGCGTGGGTGGCTGTGGGGGGTCCCTGACACGCGGGTGCCCCCCAGGACATCCACCACGGGAACGGGACCCAGCAGGCCTTCTACAGCGACCCGCACGTGCTCTACATCTCCCTGCACCGCTACGACGACGGCAACTTCTTCCCGGGCAGCGGAGCCCCCGAGGAGGTATGGGGGGGCACTCAGGGCTCGGGGGTCCCCCCGTGCCCCCCCGGCCCTGGCTGTGGCACGGGGGGTCACCTGTGGCTGTGCCCAGGTGGGCAGCGGGCTGGGCGTGGGCTACAACATCAACATCGCCTGGACGGGCGGCGTGGACCCCCCGATCGGGGACGTGGAGTACCTGACGGCCTTCAGGTGGGGGGCACGGCTGGGGGGGCTCTGCCTCGGGGAAACCCCCTGTCCTGGGGGGTCCTGAGCCCCTGGGGGGGTCTGTCTGATGGGAGGGGTCCCTGTGTCCTGGGGGAAGGGTCTCTGCAGTGGGGGGGGCATGCATCAGGGGGTCCTCGGGATCCTGGGGGCTCCCTGCACACTTGGGGTGGGGGTCCCTGCATACCTTGGAGTGGTCTCTGCACACTTTGGGGTGGTCCCTGCACACTTTGGGGGAGTCCCTGCTCCCTGAGGGGCTCCCCAAGTCCTGGGGTGTCCCTGTACCCTGGGAGGGTCCCCATGTCCCGCCCTGGGGAGGGTCCCCATGTCCCGCCCTGGAGAGGGTCCCCATGTCCCGCCCTGGGGAGGGTCCCCATGTCCCGCCCTGGGGAGGGTCCCTGCCCTCCCGGGGGGCTCCCCCAGCGCCGGGGGGTCCCAGCCGCCGCCGCCCCCAGGACGGTGGTGATGCCCATCGCCAACGAGTTCTGCCCGGACCTGGTGCTGGTCTCCGCCGGCTTTGACGCCGTCGAGGGTCACCTGTCCCCGCTCGGGGGCTACTCCGTCACCGCCAAGTGTGAGTGGGGTCTGGGGGCACCGGGGTGGGACCCAGCCCGGCCGCCCCTGACCCCCTGCCCGCTCCCCCAGGCTTCGGGCACCTGACCAAGCAGCTGATGATGCTGGCGGGGGGCCGGGTGGTGCTGGCGCTGGAGGGGGGGCATGACCTGACGGCCATCTGCGACGCCTCGGAGGCGTGTGTCAGCGCCCTGCTGGGGCTCGAGGTACGGGACCCCCGAGACCCCCAACCCTTCCCGGGGTGTGCTGTGCCTCGGTTTCCCCGCTCCCGTCCCTGCCCTGGCTTTGGGGGTGCTGGTGGCAGTTTGGGGGGGCTGATGGGGTGTCCCCCCCCCCCAAGCTGGAGCCCCTGGACCCGGCCCTGCTGCAGCAGAAGCCCAACGTGAACGCGGTGGCCACGCTGGAGAAGGTCATCGAGATCCAGAGTGAGAGCGGGGACACGGGGGGACGGGGGGACACGGGGGGGCCCTGAGGGGGCCCAGGGCTGGTTCTGTCCTGGGGGGTCACGGGGGGTCCAGGGGGCACACAGGGGGTCATGGGGGATCACGGGGGCACACAGGGGGTCCCGGGGGCCCAGGGGGGGTCCCGGGGCACGCTGCCACTCGGTGCCAGCCTTGCCCGTCCCCGCCCGTCCCCAGGCCGGCACTGGGGCTCGGTGCGGCGCTTCGCTGCCGCCGTGGGCCGGTCCCTGCTGGAGGCGCAGCGCGGGGACACCGAGGAGGCCGAGACGGTGACAGCCATGGCACTGCTGTCCGTGGGCGCCGAGCGCCATGGGGCTGGTAACGGCACCGGTAACGGCACCGGGACGGAGCCCCCGGCCAGGTACGGCCCGGACACGGGGAGGGGGGGACACGGGGGGGACACAGGGGACACGGGGATGTCACACTGGGGGACACGGGGGACACGGGGAGGGTGTGACACTGGGGGGACACAGGGGACACAGGGGGTGTGGCACTGGGGGACATGGGGTGGGTGTGACACTGGGGGGACACGGAGGACACGGGGAGGGTGGGACATGGGGGCACACTAGGGGACACGGGGAGTGTGACACTAGGGGGACATGGGGTGGGTGTGACACTGGGGGACATGGGGGAACATGGAGGGGGTGTGACACTAGTGGGACACCGAGGCAGTGTGACTCTGGGGGACACAGGAGGACACTGTGGACATGGGGAGTGTGATACTGGGGGACATGGGGGGACATGGGGAGGGTGAATGGAGTGGGGTGTGACAGCAGAGGGGACACGGGGAGTGTGCACAGAGCCAGGTGTGACACTGGGGGACACGGGGTGTGACACTGGGGGACACAGCAGGGCTGGATGGAGCCGGGTGTCCCAGGGGGGTGACAGACACTTGTCCCTCCCCTGCCCAGGCCAGCGGAGGAGCCGATGGAGGCCGAGCCCACGCTCTGACCCGCACCGAGGAACACCCGGAAGAGACGAAAAACACACACAAAAAAAATCACAGTAAAAGGAAAAAAAGAAAAAAAAAATCAAAAACACAAAAAAAAAACACAAAAAAAAAAAAAAAAAAAAAAAAAGGACAAAAAAAAAAAAAAGGCAGAAATCGAAAGGAAAACCAGAAAAAAAAGAGGAAAATATTTTCTTTTTCTATTAAAAAGAGGAGAAAAACACAAAAAAATCCCCCCGCCCGTCCTGTGCCCCCGGCTCCCCGCGGTGTTTGCGGTCGTGTCTCTTGTGCAGCAGCAGTTCCACCAGCACCCCCTGTCCCCCCGTGTCCCCCCGTGTCCCCCCGTGTCCCCCTGTGTCCCTCGGGTTCCCCCGGCGCTGCCCGGACCCCCCCCGGGGCTCCTCGAGAATTTTTTTTAGGGTTTTTTCCTGATTTTCCCCCTATTTTTGTGTGTCTCCCCCACCTCGTTCCCTCCCTGGCTCCGGATCCGTCCCCCCCCGGGGGAGGCGATGGGAAATCTTCGTGCCTTTAAGTAAGTATTTTTTTTTAATGCCTTAATTTCCCTTCATTTCAGGTTTTTTTAATTTTCTTGGGTTTATTTTTGTTTCCCTTCGGCCTCCCCGTTTTGGACGGGGACGTGAGACAAAGGGACGAGCCCTGTCCCCCACCCCCCCTCACTTTGTCACCCCGCCGCCTTTGTTGGGATCAAATTTATCCTTATAGGAGAGGGAAAAAAAAGAAAAAAAGAGGGAAAACCACTTTATTTTCCAGTTTTGTCACCAGCCGGAGGGGCCTCAGAGCGATTTTAGCTTTAAAAGAGAGAAAACCACCCCACCCCCCCAGAAAAAAGGGATATAATTTTATTACAGATGGATTATTTAATAGTATTTTTTTAATTGGGGTGGGGGCGGAGGGGGGGACAGGGACAAGCGCGTCGTGGGTTAAATTATTCCGGGGGTGGGTGGGGATTTGGGGTGGTCCCAAATTAGGAGAGGGGGGTAAGGTTGTCCTTGTCACCTCCTCTGGGGGGGAAGGACCCTGGTTTGGGGTGAGGAGTGGGGCGATCGTGTGTGTGGGGGGGATCCCCATCCCGGGAGAGGGAAACGCCTCTGGATTTTGGGGAGGGGGGAAAGGAGGGGCTGCGGCCCCCCGGCAGCGTGCCCGGCTTGCTTTGGGCTGGTGTCCCCCCCGCCCCGCCGTGTGTCCCCCGTGTCCCCCGGCCCCGCTCACGCTCGCTCTGGGTCTCGGTTCGGTATTTTGTAAGATGTCACCCATGTTCGTCCTTGTATAAATAAACTGTTTCTGGCAATACCCGCCGGGCCCGCTGCCTTTTGGGGGGGTGCTGGGGGTGCCTTTGTCACCCCTGGGCTCGGGGGGCTCTGTCCCCGTTGTCCCCCCCAATCCCGGCTCTGTCCCCGTTGTGTCCCCCCGATCCCGGCTCTGTCCCCGTTGTCCCCCCCGATCCCGGTTATGTCCCCCCCGATCCCGGCTCTGTCCCCGTTGTCCCCCGCAGCACTCGGGGCCGGGCTCGGTTCCGGAGCTTTATTTGGTTCCAAACGGGGCAGCCCCGCGCACACCGGGCTGAGGGGGGGTCCCGGGGGGTCCCGGGGGTCCCGTCCCCACTGCAGAGGGCACAGCGGGGACGGGGGTGGCAGCTCGGTGTCCCCGCGCCGGGGCTGTCCCCGGGCTGTGCCCCCAGACCCGCCGGGCACGGGGCACCCCCGGCTCTGCCCCACGGGGGTGGGACCCCCTGCCCGGGCTGGGGGGGATCCCTGGGGCAGGCGAGGGCGAGCACGAACCGGGAGAACCGCTCGGTTTGGGGGGACGGAGTGGGAGTGAACCAGGAACAGAGCGGAACCCCCCACTCAGTCTGGGGGTCCCTGGGGAAAGGGAGGGTGAGGATGAACTGGGACAGGAGTGGGGACCCCCTACTCAGTCTCGGGGGTCCCTGGGGTGAAAGGAGTGTGATAATGAACTGGCAACAGAGCAGACACCCCCTAGACAATTTGGGGGGTCGCTGGGACTGGTGGGGATGAACTGGGAGCAGATCCCCCCTCCCCGACATGGGGGGCAGTCTAGGGGGTCGCCCGGAGCCACTGGAGGATGAGGATGAACCGGGACAGGAGTGGGGACCCCTACTCAGTTTCGGGGGTCCCTGGGGCAACAGGAGCGTGAGAACGAACTGCTAACAGAGCAAACACCCCTTAGCCAGCGTGGGGGCCCCGGGGCTGGGATGCCCCGGGAGCAGACCCCCCCTCCCCGGTACAGAGGGGGGCTAGGGGGTCGCCCGGAGCCGCCGCAGGAAGAGGATGAGCTGGGGCACGAGGGAACCCACCAGCACGGGCCCCAGGGCATAGCGGGCACCCACGTTCAGGTACCAGAGCGCCGTGCCCTCGCTCCGGGGCAGCTTGTGCAGCACGTCCAGGGCCAGCAGCCCCAGGGCCGCGCTGCCCAGCGGCGGCTCCAGCGCCCGCAGCTCCTCGGCGGCGCGGCGGCTCAGCGGGCACCGGGCGGCCAGTGCCAGCCCCAGCGCGCTGCCGCTCGCCCGGCACAGCGAGGCCCAGGGCCGCGTCTCGGGCCGCAGCCAGCCCGGCTCCGAGCACCGCGAACCGGCCCGCCGGAGCGACCTGCGGGGCAGCGCGGGGATCGGGCTGGGGCGGCCCCCGGCCCCAAAGATCGGGGGGCACGGCCCCGGAGCGGGCCCTGGCAGCCCCGGGGCACAGCCCCAAAAACACCCCTGGAAGCTGATTGCTGGGGAGGCTCCCTGGGGAGACCCCTCCCCGGTGGGCACGTCTCGGGGTACCCCCTGAGACCCCGGAAGGGTGATCGCTGTGACAGCCCTGTCCCCTGTGACAGCCCTGTCCCTCGGTGACAGCCCTGTCCCCCTGTGGCAGCCCTGGTGACAGCCCTGTCCCCCTGTGACAGCCCTGTCCCCCCGTGGCAGCCCTGTCCCCCTGTGGCAGCCCTGTCCCGCTGTGACAGCCCTGTCCCCCTGTGGCACCCCTGTCCCTCTGTGGCAGCCCTGTCCCCCGGTGGCAGCCCTGACCCTGGTGACAGCCCTGTCCCCTGTGACAGCCTTGTCCCTCTGTGACAGCCCTGACCCCGGTGACAGCCCTGTCCCCCTGTGGCCTGTGACAGCCCTGTCCCCCTGCGACAGCCCTAACCCCGGTCACAGCCCTCTCCCCCTGCAGCAGCCCTTTTCCCCGTGACATTCCTTTCACCCTGTGACACCCCTTTTCCCCATGACACCCCTTTTCCCCCATGACACCCCTGTCCCCCATGACACCCCTTTCCCCCCTGTCCCCCCCTGTCCCCGTCCCCAGCTCTCACCAGTCCAGGTCCAGCCCCGCGGCCGTGGCCAGCCCGTGCAGCCCCAGCGCGCCCAGGAGCAGCCCCAGAGCCGTCAGCAGGAAGAAGCGGCACTTGAGGAAGTTGGGGGGCCAGCGCTGCAGCCCCCAGCCCAGAGCCATCCCTGGAGCGGGCACAGGCGGGGTTGGCACTGGGACGGACTGGGAAGGGGCCCGGGAAGGGCTGCGGTGCCCCCCTCACCTGCCAGGGAGCCGGTGACCACCTGGTGGGGGAAGTGGGCCAGCACGAAGATGCGGGAGAGCCCCATGGCCACCAGCAGGAGGATGTAGGCGAGGAACGGGGTCAGCCTCAGCAGCCGGCTGGAAGGGAACGGGAGGAAAGCACAGCTGAACGGGCAACCAAAACTCCTGGGGGGCTTCAGGGGCTCCCCCAGCCCCTTCCAGGGCTGCCAGGGAAGGGATGTGTCCCCTGGAGGGAAGGAAGGATCCAGCCCCTTCCAGGGCTCCCAGGGAAGGGATGTGTCCCCCGGAGGGAAGGAAGGGATCCAGCCCCTTCCCGAGCTGCCAGGGAAGGGATATGTCCCCTGGAGGGAAGGAAGGGATCCAGCCCCTTCCAGGGCTGCCAGGGAAGGGATGTGTCCCCCGGAGGGAAGGAGGGGATCCAGCCCCTTCCCGAGCTGCCAGGGAAGGGATCCAGCCCCTTCCAGGGCTGCCAGGGAAGGGACGTGTCCCCTGGAGCAGCCCTGCTGCGAGGGAAGGGATCCACACCACCCTCCACGGCCGCCGGGGTCCCACATCCACCCCCACATCCAGCCCCTCTTCCCCCAGGTGCTCTGAAGCTCCCAAGGGACGGTGTCTCCACCCGGGGCTCCTCCTGCCCGCTCCCCCTGGGCTCTGCCCCACATCCCACCCCTCGGGTCGCTGCCCCGCGCTGCCCCTGCCCGTGCCGGCCTCACCTCCGGGTGCACCGCGACACTTCCTTGCTCAGGGCGGTGACAACGGGCCACAGGGCCGCCGCCAGGATCATGCAGTGCCCCGAGGGGCTCCCTGGGGATGAAGCACAGGAGAGGCGCACTGCCGAGCCCAGCCCTTCCCCGCCGCTCGGAACGGCTCCTCCCGCCTCCAGCCCACCGTCCCACCGGGATGGGGCTCCTGGGGCTGCTCCCGGGATCCCGGGGCTGCCCGAGCCGGGACTCACCTGGGCCCGTCTCGCAGGTGACCGGGAACTGGCGCAGCGGGAGCTGCTCCCGGCTGGAGAGCCCCGACTCGTGGATCCACCAGTACGGGCGCTCCCCGAACAGGAACCTGCGGCAGGGACAGAGCTGGGAGAGAGCCCGGAGAGCCGGGCCGGGATCCTGCGGGTCCCTGCAGCCCACCCTGAATGATCCAGGAGAGCAGGATCCTGCAGGTCCCTGCAGCCCATCCCAGGATCTCCAGGACAGCAGGATCCTGCAGGTCCCTGCAGCCCATCCCGAGATCTCCAGGAGGGCAGGATCCCTGCAGGATCCCTGCAGCCCACCCTGAATGATCCCGGAGAGCAGGATCCTGCAGGATCTCTGCAGCCCATCCCAGGACAATCCCATCTCCAGGATGAAGCCACAGGGGATCAGGATCCTTTGCCAGCCCCGATGCCTCTGGAGCTTTCCTGTGCCAGGAATTCCTGGTGGGAGTTCAGGTGACCCTGAGAAATGCCCCAGGCAGGGAGTCTGTGCCCAAACTGCCCAGGCTGGGGGTCAGGCTGTGCCCAAACTGCCCAGGCTGGGGGTCAGTCTGTGCCCAAACTGCCCAGGCTGGGGGTCAGTCTGTGCCCAGAACTGCCCAGGCTGGGGGTCAGTCTGAGCCCAAAGTGCCCAGGCTGGGGGTCAGTGTGTGCCCAAACTGCCCAGGCTGGGGGTCTGTGCCCAGAACTGCCCAGGCTGGGGTCAGTCTGTGCCCAAACTGCCCAGGCTGGGGGTCAGGGTGTGCCCAAACTCCCCGGGCAGGGAGGGGGAGCCCCGGTGCCCCTCCGTGTGCCCCTCACCACTTGAGCACCACGTTGAGCCACTCGGCCAGCAGGGCGCTCCAGAGCAGCAGCAGCGCCACGCGCTCGCCCAGCCCGCGGGCCAGCGGGAAGAACACGGTGTAGATGGCGTTGGGATCCAGCTGGGACGTCAGCAACAGCCAGAACTGCTCCAGCCAGGCCGGCCCGGCCTGCAGGGCCACGGCGGCGCGGATCCCGGCCTCGTGCAGGGCGTCCATGGCACCGGGCTGGGCACACGGGGAGGGGGATCAGCCCGGGCACAGACCCCCGGGAACCCCGTGGGGATGGGGTGGGAGGGGGATGGATCCCTGGGAATGCCGTGGGGATGGGGTGGGAGCGGGGTGGATCCCCAGGGATGCCCTGGGGACACCGTGGGAGGGGATGGATCCCCAGGGATGCCTTGGCACTGATTCAGGCACTCATTCACCACTTGAACCGACTGCCCAGCTCCTGCCCGGGGGCAGAACACGCCTCTGGTGGCTCTGGGATGGGAGCCAGGGCAGGATCCCGGGGGAACTGGTGTGGGATTTGCTGGAGCAGCCCAGATGCTCCAAAGAGCCACCACCTCCCTGGGGCTTTCCCTTGGAGACCTCCTGGGGCTCCTGTGGGGATTCTGCAGAAGGTCTGGGGAGTCTCTGGAGCCTCCCTTGCTATTCCCTGTGGATTCCCTGGGCTCTCCCTGCAGCGGCTCCTGAGCATCCCTGAGCATCCCTGGGTATCCCTGAGCATCCCTGGGTATCCCTGAGCATCCCTGGGCATCCCTGACCATCCCTGAGCATCCCTGGGCATCCCTGGGTATCCCTGGACATCCCTGACCATCCCTGAACATCCCTGACCATCCCTGAGCATCCCTGGGCATCCCTGGGTATCCCTGGACATCCCTGACCATCCCTGAACATCCCTGACCATCCCTGACCATCCCTGGACATCCCTGGGCTCCCTCTGGGCCTGTCTGGGCTCTCAGGCCCGAGGCCTCCCTGGGCTCTCCCTACACCAAGACCCCCGGTCTCCCCGTCCCCACCGGCGGGCTCTGCGCCCCCTGCGCCTCCCGGAGGCGCCGCCCAGCCCCGGTACCGGCGGGCGGCACCTGAGGGGCGGATTCCATCCCGGCCGCCCCTCAGCGCTCCCTCCCGCCGCTCTCACCGCCCTCTTCCGCCTACACTTCCCAGCACCGCCCGCGGGGCGCCGCGCTACGGCGGGGCGGGAGGGCCAAACCGCGCCCGGGTGTGTGTGGGGGGTGGGCTCGGCCAATCAGCGCGCGGGGCGGAGCAGATCGGCGGGGCGGAGCGCCAATCCCCGCCCTCGCCGGCGCCTGGCCCCGCCCCCGCCGCGCCTGGCCGAGGCGAGCGGAGCCGCGGGCGCTGCGGGCGGACAAGATGGCGGCGCCGGGCGAGTACTTCAGCGTGGGCAGCCAGGTGTCCTGCCGCACCTGCCAGGAGCAGCGCCTCCAGGGCGAGGTCGTCGCCTTCGACTACCCCAGCAAGATGCTGGCGCTCAGTATCCACCCGCCCGCGCCTCGCCGCCGCTGCTCCCGGCCCCGGCGCGGCCCGCTCGGGCCTCTGCGGCCCGCCCGATGGGGGGGGGGCGTGAGGGAGGGAGGGGAAAGGGGGCGAAGGAGGGGAAGGGCTGCGAGGGGATGGAGGTGGGCGGCGACAGGGAGGGGTTTGAGGGGCAGCGGGGAGACCCCCGAGGGATGGGGGGAGTGGGGAGCCCGGCAGCGAGGTTTTGGGGGGAGCGGGGAGGTTTGTTTTGGGGGGATTGGGGAGGCTGGGTCAGGGGGGAATGGGGGCATTGGGAGCCCGTTTTGGGGTGAATGGGGGTCCTGTATTGTAAAGAGCTTAGGGGGGAGTGGGGAGCCCGGCATGGAGGTTTTGGGGGGAGTGGGGAGGTTTGTTTCAGGAGGATTGGGAGCCCGTTTTGGGGTGAATGGGGGTCCTGGATTATAAAGAGTTTAGGGGGTCCTGTATTCTAAAGGGATGGGGGGAGTGGGGAGCCCGGCAGGGAGGTTGGGGTGATTGGAGAGGTTTGTGTTGGGGAGAACGGGGGCGTTGGGGGGCTCCTTGTGGAGGGATTGGGGGGGCTTGGAAGTGAGGGGCCCTGCCCTGGGGGGAATGGGGGAGTTGGGGGTCTTGTGGCGGGTGAATGGGATGTGGGGTGGCCTGTAGGGAGATTCTGGGGGGAGCGGGGTGGTTTGTTTTGGGGGGATTGGGGATCCTTTGTTGGGGTGAGTGGGGGGATATTGGGAGCCCGTTTTGGGGTGAATGAGGGTCCTGGATTATAAAGGGATGGGGGGAATGGGGAGCCCTGTACTGGCTTGGATGGGGGCACAGAGAGCACCCAGTTTTGGGGAGGATGGGGGGGACTGTGCTGTCCTGGAGGTTTTTTGGGGGGCACAGTGAGGAGCCCTGTAGTGGGGTGAGTGGGGGTGTGGCATTCACTGTGGGGGGGTGGGAGCATTGAACTGGGGTGAGTGGGGGCAGTGGGGGGTCCCTGCCCCCCCCCCAGTAGGAATACACGTGGATCTCGTTTTGTTTGGAGCCTGCAAGGAACGGGGAAGCTGTTGGGAAGCAGTGGAGGGTTCCGGGAGAGGGGAAGGCTCAGCTCAGGGCTGGTGCTGCGGTTCTGGGGGCACAGGGGTGGCTTCTGCAGGGACCGAGGAGCTGGGACAGGGTCTTGTGGCCGGAGCTGTGGGAAGCACAACAGGAAAAGGGCCCCTGGGTGCCTGGGATGAGGCTGGAGCCAGGCGAGCTGCCAGGTCCCACTGGAGGAAAGTCCCAGAGGGTCTGACAGGTTCTCAGTGCTGCCTGTCAGCCCCATGGGAGCTGAGCACTTCCCAAAATCCAGCTCTTCTCCCACAGCTGGGCTGCCCCAGCCCATCCCCCAGAGGGGAGAGGGAATTCCCTGGCTTCCTGCTCACTGAGCGGCGATTTTAGGGGGGCTCCACCTTGTGCTCAGGGGGCTGGGAGAGGAGCAGGGGCTTCCCTGGGGATTTCTTCCAGGAGATGGTGCTGGCATGGAAAAAGCTCTCCATGTTTTGCTTCCTCCATCCATCTATCCCTCATCCATCTATGGATCCATCCCTCCATCATCCATCCATCCATCCATCCATCCATCCATCCATCCATCCATCCATCATCACTCCATCCATCCATCCATCATCCATCCATCATCCATCCATCCATCATCCATCATCCATCCATCCATCCATCCATCCATCCATCATCATCCATCATCCATCCATCCATCCATCCATCCATCCATCCATCCATCCATCATCCATCCATCCATCCATCCATCCATCATCCATCCATCATCCATCCATCCATCCATCCATCATCCATCATCCATCCATCCATCATCCATCCATCCATCCATCATCCATCCATCCATCATCCATCCATCCATCATCCATCCATCATCCATCATCCATCATCCATCATCCATCCATCCATCATCCATCCATCCATCATCCATCCACCATCATCCATCCATCATCCATCATCCATCCATCCATCATCCATCATCCATCATCCATCCATCCATCCATCATCCATCATCCATCCATCATCCATCCATCCATCATCCATCCATCATCCATCCATCATCCATCCATCCATCATCCATCCATCCATCCATCCATCATCCATCATCCATCCATCCATCCATCATCCATCCATCCATCATCCATCCTTCCATCCATCCATCCATCATCCATCCATCCATCCATCCATCCATCCATCCATCCATCCATCCATCATCCATCCATCATCCATCATCCATCATCCATCCATCATCCATCCATCATCCATCCATCCATCATCCATCCATCCATCATCCATCCTTCCATCCATCCATCCATCATCCATCATCCATCATCCATCCATCATCCATCCATCATCCATCCATCCATCCATCCATCATCCATCATCCATCCATCATCCATCATCCATCCATCATCCATCCATCCATCCATCATCCATCCATCCATCCATCATCCATCCATCCATCCATCATCCATCCATCCATCCATCCATCATCCATCCATCATCCATCCATCATCCATCCATCCATCATCCATCATCCGTCCATCCATCCATCCATCCATCATCCATCATCCATCCATCATCCATCCATCCATCATCCATCCATCCATCCATCATCCATCCATCATCCATCATCCATCCATCCATCCATCCATCCATCCATCCCTAATCCCTCCATCCCTCCACCAGCACCAAACGTGGGATCACTGATGGTCCCAGGCAGGGACAGGGGAGCAGAGGAGCCCCCCACAATCCCCCCTCTCCTGCTCTGCTCCGGGCCGGTTCCAGCTGCCCGAACCCCTCTCTGGCTGTGTTTTCCTTGACCCCCCCTGCAGAATGCCCCTCTTCCAGCGGCAAGCCCAACCACGCAGACATCCTGCTCGTAAACCTACAGTACGTGTCAGAAGTGGAAATAATCAACGACCGCACGGAAACGCCTCCCCCTTTAGCCTCCCTCAACGTCAGCAAGGTGAGAGAGCCCCCCAGCAGGGATCCCCCCCCCCGGATTCCTGCAGGGATCCCCCCAAATCCTGCAGGGATCCCCCCAAATCCAGCAGGGATCCCCCCAAATCCTGCAGGGATCCCCCCAAATCCTACAGGAATCCAGCAGAATTTGCCACTGGAGCTGCTCTGGGCGCAGCTTCCCAGTGTTCCATCCTGGGGCTGGGGTTTGGTGATTTGCGGCTGGATTTTACCAGTTTGGCATCTGAATTTTGGCAGTTGGAGGCCTGGATTTGGTTGGGTTTAGGGTCTGGGCATTTGGCATTTAGGGTCTGGTTTTTGGGTGGTTTTGGAGCCCAGATTTTATTTCTAGATTTTTGGCATTTGGGGACCCGGATTTTGGTGTTTTTGGGGTCTAAGGTGATGTTGTTTTGGGGCTTGCATTTTGAGGGGTTTGGAGCCTGGGTTTTGGTATGCAGGTGGTGGTGTTTGGGGTCTGGATGATGCTGGTTTGGGTCTAGATTTTGGCATTTTGGGTAAAGCTGAACTCATAAAGGGGAACTCACAGAATTCTGAGGAATGGCTTTTCATCCATCCTGGGACGGGATCACTGCTGATTCCCAGTGAGGTGGAAGGACGGGAAGGGGACCCCGAGCCCTCGGTGCTGGGATGGACCCGGGTGTGACAGGGTGCTCAGCTGGCACCTCCTTGTCCCACAGGGACGCCTCAGGAATTGCAGTGTGGGGAGTCCCTGAGGAATTCCAGTGTGGGGAGCCCCCCAGGAATTGCAGTGCCCCCTTGGGTTGGTGTGTGGGGAATGACGGCTGCGGTGGGGTTGGAAGTTCCAGTGGCAGGGGGGCCGTTCTGTGGGGCTGCCCCACATCCCCTTCCCCACGGCGGGCTGGGCCGGGACTGGTTGTACTGGGAGGAGGAGCTGTGGGCACTGGAACCCAGAGCATTGGGGACTTGGGGACACGCACGGGGCTGGCACTCAGCTCGGCACAGCCACCCCGTGCCATTCCAGGGGGATTTCGGAGGGATCCCCTGGATCTCCCCAGCCTGCTGGCACCCGAGTGGGATCAGGGGCTACCCGAGCCCCGGGGGAGCCTGGCATGGCCCCTGGTGGCCCTGGCATGAACCTTGGTGGCCCCCACGGTCCCTGAATTCCGTCATTCAGCCCGAGGGAGCAGGAGTGACTCATCCATTGACGAGGTGTGTGCAGGGAGCTCCTGGAGTGCTGGGATCCAGGGGCTGGAGCTGAGCCGCTTCCCGCTGGGAAAGGGGAGCATTATCCCCTGGGAAAGGGGTGCATTATCCCCTGGGAAAGGGGTGCATTATCCCCTGGGAAAGGGGTGCATTTCCCACTGGGAAAGGGGTGCATTATCCCCTGGGAAAGGGGTGCATTTCCTGCTGGGAAAGGGGAGCATTATCCCCTGGGAAAGGGGTGCATTTCCCGCTGGGAAAGGGGTGCATTTCCCCCTGGGAAAGGGGTGCATTTCCTCCTGGGAAAGGGGTGCATTTCCCACTGGGAAAGGGGTGCATTTCCCGCTGGGAAAGGGGTGCATTTCCCGCTGGGAAAGGGGTGCATTTCTCACTGGGAAAGGGGTGCATTATCCCCTGGGAAAGGGGTGCATTTCCCGCTGGGAAAGGGGTGCATTTCTCACTGGGAAAGGGGTGCATTTCCCGCTGGGAAAGGGGTGCGTTTCCCGCTGGGAAAGGGGTGCATTTCTCACTGGGAAAGGGGTGCATTTCCCGCTGGGAAAGGGGTGCATTTCTCACTGGGAAAGGGGTGCATTTCCCGCTGGGAAAGGGGTGCATTTCCCCCTGGGAAAGGGGTGCATTTCCCCCTGGGAAAGGGGTGCATTTCCCGCTGGGAAAGGGGTGCATTTCCCGCTGGGAAAGGGGTGCATTTCCCCTGGGAAAGGGGTGCATTTCCCGCTGGGAAAGGGGTGGGGTGCAGGGAAGCTCCCGTGGGATGCTGTGTCTGATCTCCCAGAGAGCCATTCCCACCCGGGATGGGGTGGGGGGTGTGAGGGTGAGGAAGGCTCCCGGCCCTGCTGAGGCACTCAGGGAGCACACGAGGAGCGTCCTGTGCTCCTGCAGTGCCTGCTGCTCCCAAGAGCGGACTCGGGCTGGCTGGAGAGGGACTCCTGTCCCTTAGGGGCACTGAGGTGTCCCCAGTCAGAGGGAGCTGGGGCTTTTCTCCCTCAGAGGGGCTTTGGAAGGGGTGGAACCCCCTCAGCCAGCAGCAGGAAGCCAGTCCAGCTCTGGGTGTGCTCCCAGCAATGAGGAGGCTCCAGCAGGAGGAAGAGGAGGGATGATGATGCTGCCGTGGCTCCTCCACTGCGGCAGCTCCAGCCGGGAAAAGGCGGCTGGTCCAAGGCTGCTGCCTCCGGGCTCTGCTTCCTTCTCCTCCCACATCCACGGGATGCAGCATGGGGGATGCCAGGGTCGGGGTTTTCCATCTCTATTCCAGCACCCTGTGTGTAATCACACCTCCCCACACACGGATGCGGCTCCCAGATAACCAATTCTGGTTGTTTTTTGGGAACAAACCAACTGCTGGAGGCTAAAGTTGCTCCTACTCCTGCATGGAGCATCTACTCCCAGCGTGTTGGGTGCTCCAGGCTCCTCTTCCCCATCTCCATCCCGAGTGAACTGAGTGGTGAAATGCCAGAATTTATCCAGAAAAGGGGAAGGGGCAGGGGGTGTGAAAAGATGGCACCACCACCCCCAAATCTCTGCGAGGCCCCGGCAGTGGTGAGGGTGCCTCCAAGGGGGAATTGAGGCTGGAATCACAGGGGGCAGAGCTGTGTCTGGGGGTCCCCGTGTCCCCTCACTGCTGCCAGCCCAATTCCCTGTCCCTGTGCTTCCCCAGCTTGCCAACAAAGCACGGACGGAGAAGGAGGAGAAGATGAGCCAGGCGTATGCAATTAGTGCTGGTGTCTCTCTGGAGGGGCAGCAGCTCTTCCAGACCATCCATAAGACGTAAGTGCCCACCTCGGGGTCCCCAGTGCCCACCTCGGGGTCCCCATGCTCCTTTTTGGGGTCCCAGTGTCCACCTCGGGGTCCCCATGCTCCTTTTTGGGGTCCCAGTGTCCACCTCGGGGTCCCCATGCTCCTTTTTGGCATCCCAGTGTCCACCTCGGGGTCCCCATGCTCCTTTTTGGGGTCCCAGTGTCCACATCAGGGTCCCCATGCTCCTTTTTGGGGTCCCAGTGCTCACCTCAGGGTCCCCGTGCTCCTTTTTGGGGTCCCCCCTCTCCTTTTTTGGGGTCCCATTGCCGTGCCTGGCGCCCTGGGTTTGCCTTGGCAGGCTCGGGCGTGTCCTGGGTGGGCTCCTCGGTGGGTGGGGGTCTCCCTGCCCTTCCTGGCACATCCCACCCCCCTGGAGTGCCCCAGGGGGCTCCGTGCCCCTCGGGGGACGTGGTGGTGGCGGTCCCTGACGCGCTGTCCCCGCCTGGCTCCCCGCAGCATTAAGGACTGTAAATGGCAGGAGAAGAACATCGTGGTGATGGAGGAGGTGGTCATCGCCCCCCCGTACCAGGTGGAGAACTGCAAAGGCAAAGAGGGCAGCGCCCTGAGCCACGTACGCAAAATAGTGAGTGCGGGCTGGGCACGGGCAGGGGGGCACTGCGTCCTGGGCACAGCCACGAGCCCTCCCAGGGGTCTCCAGCCCTCCTTGGGGGTCTCCAGCTCCTCCTTGGGGGTCTCCAGCCCCTCCTGGGCACCCCCAGTCCCTCCTTGGGGGTCTCCAGCCCTCCTTGGGGGTCTCCAGCTCCTCCTGGGGCTCCCCCAGCCCTTCCTGGGCACTCCCAGCCCCTCCCTGGGGGTCTCCAGCCCCTCCTGGCCTTCCCCCAGCCCTTCCTGGGCACTCCCAGCCCCTCCCTGGGGGTCTCCAGCCCCTCCTGGCCTTCCCCCAGCCCTTCCTGGGCACCCCCAGCCCCTCCCGGGGGTCTCCAGCCCCTCCTTGGGGGTATCCAGCCCCTCCTGGGGATTCCCCAGCCCCTCCTTGGGGGTCTCCAGCTCCTCCTGGGCACCCCCCAGCCCCTCCTTGGGGGTCTACAGCCCCTCCTGACCTTCCCCCAGTCCCTCCTTGGGGGTCTCCAGCTCCTCCTGGGCACCCCCAGCTCCTCCCTGGGGGTCTCCAGCCCCTCCTGGGGATCCCCCAGTCCTTCCTAAGGATCCCCCAGCCCTTCCTGGACGCCCCCAGCCCCTCCTGGGGGTCTCCAGCCCCTCCTTGGGGGTCTCCAGCCCCTCCTGGGCTCCCCCCAGCCCCCCTGAGGTCCCCCAGCCCCTCTGGGGTCCCTTCCCTGAGCCCCCTGTGCCCCCTCCCCGCAGGTGGAGAAACACTTTCGGGACGTGGAGAGCCAGAAGGTCCTGCAGCGTTCACAAGCACAGCAGACACAGAAGGACACGTCCCTGTCATCCTGAGGCCACCTCGGGGCCACCACCCACCCCCGTGTCCCTGTCTCTGGGGGCACTTCAACTTTTATTTCCTTTTTTTTTTTTTTTTCCCCCCTCTCTCTCTCTCTTTGGGGAATCTCAACCAGTTCCGAACTTTAGAACTTTAAAACGAACGAAAAAACAGAATAATTTAAAGCTCCTCATGCATTACTTGACTAACAGACTTTGTTTTTCTGCCATGGTTTCTCCCTCCAGCCAGTCAGACTCTGTTAATTTTATTTTTTGGCCTTTTTTTTTTTTTTTCCCCTTTTCCTCCCAATTCCTGCCTCCCTCTTCCCCAAAAAACCCTCCAGAAAATAAAGCTAATGAGCTGACTGCGGTGGCCAACCCGGGACCCTCATGACCAACGTGGTCTCGTTTTAATTTTGTTTGCACAGGGCAAGGCTTGAATTAGTCTTATTTTTCTTATCTTTAAATATATATATGAATATATATTAAAATGTCCTTTAAATATTTGTCTGCTTCCAGCAGGGTTGTGCCTCCAACAGCCCCTTGGGAGCAGCCAGAACCTGGATTTGGGGTTTTCCCCCCATTTCCTTTATGTTTTTAATTTTTTTTTGCCCTTCTCCATTTTAATTTCTTTTTTAATTTTTATTTTTTTTTGTCACGATCCTCCCTCTCCCCGTTTTGTTTCCTTTCTTTTTTTTTTTTCTTTTCTTTTAATTAAAAAAAAGCAGATCAAAACTCCAAACAATTCAAGCCCTGCCTTTAGGAAAATTAAAGATTAAAAAAAAAAAAGTACTTAAAAAAAAAAAAAAGAAAAAAAAAGGAAAAAATTTTTTAGTCTTGTTTAGCAAAAAAAAAAAAACAATAAAAACCCGAAATTTTTTTAACCATCACCGGCGTCTGTGGGGGCTCAATGGGGGCGTGGCGGGGGCGTGGCCACGGAGTGGGTGATGTCATTTAGGGGGCGTGGCCATAGAATGGGCGTGGCTTATGGGTGGGTTTTACTCTGTTGTGGGGCGTGGCTTCACCGGGGTGGGCGTGGCTTTCCCCTGAGGGCCGCTTTGATTGACGTGCGGGGTTTCGGGGAGCAGCCGCGGCCCGGGGCAGGCGGGGGAGGCTCGGTGAGCGCGGCTGTACCGGAGCGGGGCCTTTCATGCGGGGAGGAGCCGCCGTTGGAGCGGCAGGGCGCGGGCGGAGCGGAACGAGCGCGCCCCGGTGAAAGGGGCGTGGTTTGCGCGGGAGGGGCGGGGCCCCGCGGCACTTCCGGCGGCGGCGGCGATGGCGGCGGGCCGCGGCTGGCGGCGGCGGGCGCTGCGGCTGCTGACGGCGGGCGGCGGCGTCCTGCTCACCCGCTTCCCCTTCTGGCACTGCTTCAGCGGGCTGCTGCTCTGCGCCGAGCGCGCCGACCTGCGCCGGTGCGGCACCGGGAGGGACGGGGGGAGAGCCGCGGCCTGCGAGGGGCGGTGTGGGGCCGGGCTGGGACAGACGGGGGGGACCGTGGGGCCGGGGGTGGGTGCGGGGGAGAGCCCCGAGTGTGCGGGGTGCAGCGGGGGCTGGGGCGGGAGCCGGAGGAGGCCCGGGGCTGTGGGGCCTGGGGGGGCTGTGGGGCTGGGGGGGCTGGGGGGGCTGGGGGGGCTGGGGCTGTGGGGTTTGGGGGGCTAGGGGTGGTTTTGGGGGGCTGGGAGTGGTCCTGGGGAGCTGGGGGTGCTGCTATGGGGCCTGGGGGGCCTGTGGGGCTGGGGGCGCTGGGGCTGTGGGGTTTGGGGGGGCTAGGGGTGGTTTTGGGGGACGGGGAGGGGTCCTGGGGAGCTGGGGGTGCTGCTATGGGGCCTGGGGGGGCTGTGGGGCTGGGGGGGCTGGGGGTTTGGGGTTTGGGGGGCTAGGGGTGGTTTTGGGGGAATGGGAGTGGTCCTGGGGAGCTGGGGGTGCTCCTGCGGGGTTGGGGGTGGTCCTGGGGGGCTTCTGAGGTGTGGGGCAGCTGGGGGGCTCCTGAGTGAGTGTGGGGCTGCTCGGGACGCTCGGTGGGGCCAGGGCAGGGACCCTCAGTGGGGCTGGGGCAGGTGGGGTTTGAGGTGGGGCTCGGAGCTCCTGCCTGAGGATGAGGGGAGACCCCGGCAGTGTTGGGGTCCAGAGGAGGATTTGGATCTAGGGGGGCTTTCGGGTCTGGAGGAGGTTTTGGGGTCTGGGGGAGGGGGCAGAGCAGCAGAGGGGGCCTGTGGGGCCCAGAGGGGCTCTGTGGGGTCCAGAGGGGCTCTGTGGGGCAGAGCCAGGCCCGCACTCCCCGTTAACCCTCTGGAGGCTGCGGGTGGGTTGCGGGGTGCCGTAGCCGCCGTGCCGCCCCGCAGGAAGCCGGACATCCCGGTGCCCTACCTGTACGTGGACATGGGTGCGGCCGTGCTCTGCGCCAGCTTCATGTCCTTCGGCGTCAAGCGGCGCTGGTTCGCCCTGGGCGCCGCGCTGCAGCTCGCCATGGCCACCTACGCCAGCCATGTTGGTGGCCACGCGCACTACGGCGACTGGCTCAAGGTCAGACCCCATCTATCCATCCATCCATCCATCCATCCATCATCCATCATCCATCCATCATCCATCCATCCATCCATCCATCATCCATCATCCATCATCCATCATCCATCATCCATCATCCATCATCCATCCATCATCCATCCATCCATCCATCCATCATCCATCATCCATCCATCATCCATCATCCATCCATCCATCCATCCATCCATCCATCCATCCATCCATCCATCCATCATCCATCCATCCATCCATCCATCCACCCCTGTGGCCACGGTGGCACCTCTGGCCCGTTTCTGTCCCATCCCCGTCCCCTGTCCCCGTCCCCGAGCGTCCCTCCCTCCCCAGGTCCGGATGTACTCGCGCACCGTGGCCGTCATCGGCGGGTTCCTGATCCTGGCCAGCGGTGCCGGTGAGCTGTACCGGCAGAGACCGCGCAGCCGCTCCCTGCAGGCCACCGGGCAGGTGCTGCTGGGCATCTACCTCATCTGCCAGGTGACACGGGGACAGGGGACAGCCGGGGGGCAGTGGGGACGGGCTGGGGACAGCTGGGGGACACCTCTGTGCTGCCACACTGTGGATTGGGGACACGGTTCCCTGTGGGAGGAACCTTGGGACAGTGCTCACAGTGCTCCAGATTGTCCCTGGTGGGAGCCTCAGGGTGGTGGCACCAGTGCCACTGAGCCTCAGGGTGGTGGCACCCATGCCACTGAGCCCACACTGTCACCGAGCTTCAGGGTGGTGGCACCAATGCCACCAGGCCCACACTGTCACCGAGCCTCAGGGTGGTGTCACCAGTGCCACCAAGGCCACGCTGTCCCCAGGGCAGAAGCCTTGACCAGCAGTTGTCCTTGGGGGACGGTTCCCAGTGCCACCACTGCCACCACTCTGTGACCCCGGTGTGGAACTCTCCTGTGGCTGTTCCCAGTGCCACCGCTGCCACCACACCCCTGTCCCCATCAGCACGACCCCGGTGCCACCCCCGGGACACGGCCACACCGCTGCTGTCCCCAGAGCTGTCCCCATAGCGTCCCCGCTGTCCCCACAGGCCTACTCGCTGCAGCACAGCCCCGAGGACCGCCTGGCGTACCTGGAGCACCTGCTGGGGGGTGAGGTGGCCCTGCAGCTGCTGTTCCTGCTCTACGGGCTGCTGGCGCTGGCCTTCCTGTCGGGCTGCTACGTGCGGGTGGCAGCGCAGGTGCTGGCGGTGCTGCTGCCACCCGCCATCCTGCTGGTGGACGGCAACTTGGCATACTGGCACGCCCTGCGCCGCGTCGAGTTCTGGAACCAGATGAAGCTCATCGGCCAGAACGTCGGCATCTTCGGGGCCGCGGTCATCCTGGCCACCGACGGCTGAGGGCACAGGCGGGAGGGGTTTTGCTATTTATTCCTTCAGGTTTTTTTTCTTTCTTTGTAAATATTTGATAATTCTGGCGGAGGATGGGTGGGGGGTGGCGGCCACTGTGTGGCCAGGGTCCCTCTCCCTGCTGAGGGGTGTCACTGCTCCCCCCCCACCACCCCAAAAAAATGTATTTTTACTGATGCAGTGAGAAATCTTTAACGTTTCAGCCCGGGGGGCTCGGCTTTGTGTGCCAGGGTGAGGGGCTGCAGCTTTTGGGGCGCAGATTGCTTTTGGGGTTGTGCAGCTGCAGGGCAGGGGGGTCTGGGGAGCTGGTGGTGGGGGAAGAAGTGCTCTGGGGGAAAACTGCTTCAGGGGAGGTGCTTTGGGGGGAGCTGATTGGGGAGAGTCGATTTGGGGGGAGCTGATTGGGGGGAGTCGATTTGGGGGCGCTTGGAGGGCAGAGCTCCTTTAGGGGCTTGGGGTGGAGGGGCTGTTTTGGGGGACCCTCATGGGGAGCCACTTTGGGGGCCGGGTCTGGGGAGGGATGTGACACTGAGGGGCTGAGGGGGAGCCACCGCGGGGACTTGGCAGAGGGGCTGGGGGTGTTCTGCCACGGGTGGGGGGCCCAGTGGGACCCAGGGAGGGGCTGGCAACCCCCAGGGTCCCGTGGGCTGAGGCTTCAGTGCCCTCGTCCTGTCCCCGAACTGTCCGTGTCCCCTCCCTGGGCTGGGCCGGTGCCCGTGTCCCCCTCCCGGGTGTCCGTGTCCCCCCCCGGTGTCCCCGTCCCCCCCCCGGTGTCCGGAAAAGCAAACACGGCCGATAAGCTCCTTCCTCCGGGGGCCCCGATGTCGCCTCCGCCGGAACCGGGGCCATAAAGCGCGGCCAGGCGGCAGAGCGCTGTTTGCTCGGGGGGCCACCGCGGTCCTCACCCCCCGGGACCCCCCGGCCGCTCCAGCCCCGCTCCTGCACCCCCGGACCCTCCTCTTCCTCCCCATTGCCCCGCAGAGGCGGGGGCAGGCCGGGACCCCCCGCCCTGTCCCCGTTGTACCGGGGGTGCACCGCGCCCCCCCCGCGGCGGAGCCATCCCTGACCTTTGGAAAATCTCTGTTTGCTGTCACTGGGAGCAATGGGGCAGAAACGCCCGGACCCCCCCGGCCTCGCCCGGGGACCGGCGGTGACAGCGGGGGGGTCCCCGCAGCCCCCCGGTCCCGGTCCCGTCCGCTCCGCACCCGCCGTGGGCCGTGCGGGGTCCGGCCCGGGGGGTCCCCGCAGCCCCCCGGTCCCGGTAGCTCCGCACCCGCCGCGGGGCCGTGCGGGGTCCGGCCCGGGGGTCGCGGGGGCCGCTCGCCGCTCCCGGCGCTGCCCCGAGCCCGGAGCCACTCACCGGGACCCCCCGCCCGTGTCCCCGCCGCCCCGCGGGTGTCACGGCGCGGCCACGCCACGGGGGACAGCCCCCGCCGTGTCCCCGCCGCGCTCGACCGGGTGACAACCGGGGCACGAGTGGGGGCCGCGGTCCCTCCGCTCGGGGCTGGTGGCGCCCCACGGTGTCCCCGCGGGCCGTGTCCCTCCGCCCCGTGGCCGCAGCCGCGTGGGGCCATCCCGGCGCTTTTGGGGAGCCCCTCCTGCCTCCTCTCCCCGCCCCAGCACGTCCCCGCCGCGTCCCTCCGTGCCTCAGTTTCCCCGGAGCCGGTGATTGCTCCGTAATGGCAAATCCATACGGGATTCGTGTCCCCGCGCGGGGCTGGAAAGGTCACCTCATCCGTCCTGGGGCTGGTGACAGCGCTCGATGGCGGTGGCGGGGCTGCGGTGACACGGCTGTGCTGGCGGCTCCGTGCCTGGGCTGGGGAAACTGAGGCAGCCGCGGCTGTGGGTGTGTGTGTCCCCTCCACTGTCCCCCATGGGTGCCTTGTGCCAGGGCCGTGGGTCTTGTCCCATGTGCCATGTCTGTGTCCCTGGGGGTGGCTGATGTCCCCGTGTCCCGCTGTCACATCCCGGGGCTGTCTCAGGGCAGGTTTGTGTGCCACGGCTGCGTGTGACATCCGTGTCACCGTCCTGTGTCTGCATGTCACATCCGTGTCACCGTCCTGTGTCCCCGTGCCACGGCTGCGTGTGACATCCGTGTCACCGTCCTGTGTCTGCGTGTGACATCCGTGTCACCGTCCTGTGTCCCCGTGCCACGGCTGCGTGTGACATCCGTGTCACCGTCCTGTGTCCCCGTGCCACGGCTGCGTGTCACATCCGTGTCACCGTCCTGTGTCCCCGTGCCACGGCTGCGTGTCACATCCGTGTCACTACCTTGCTGCCTGTCTCACCTGTCTGTGTGTCGCGGTGACATGTCACACCTGTGCCCACATCCCGTGCCCGCCTGGCATTGCCGTGTCCGTGTCCTGTGGCCCCACGCGTGTCCCCGTGCCCGTGTGTCCTCCCCGTGGCCCAGGCGGGGGGGGGACAGTGGCAGGCTGCTGGCACGTGTCGCCGCAGGGTCCTGCGTGCCCGTGGGTCTGTCACGCGTGAGGGAGGAGCCAGCAGCCCCCCTCGGGCTATAAAACCTCGCGCGGGCGCAGGAGCCGCCGTGTCCCCGGCACTGTCACCCCACTGCCAGGCCCTGCCTGTCACCTCTGCCTCCGCCACCGTGAGTGGGACGGGCGGGGGTCCCGGGGCCCCTGAGGGGGGACACTCACCTCGGGGACCTGTGGGGACCCTGGAGGGGAGGTGTCCCTTGGGTGCCGCGGGTCTCTGGGGTGTCCTTTGGGGTGGGGACACTGGGGGGGGTCTCTGGGAGGGAGGTGTCCCCGCGGGATATGTGGGGACGCTGGGGGGGTGCCTTGAGTGGGGCTGGGGTCCCGCGTGGGGAGCCGGGGGTGCTCTGAGGCTGTGCCAGTCCCACAGGGAACGGGGTCCCGGGGCTTGCTGGGGGGGCAGAGCCGGGCTGGGGGTCCCGGGGGTGTGGGGGATGCCCCCCAGCCACCCCCCAGCCGCTGTCCCCGCAGATGGTGACGTCCCCGCGGCCGTGGCCCGCGCTGGTGGCCGTGGCCCTGTGCGCCCTGCTGTGCCTGGCGGCCGCGTACCCCCCGAAACCGGAGAGCCCCGGGGACGCCGCGTCCCCCGAGGAGATGGCGCGTTACTTCTCGGCGCTCCGCCACTACATCAACCTGGTCACGCGGCAGAGGTGAGCGCCACGCGGGGGGACACGCGTGTCTGTCCCCGCGGGGTCCCCGTTGCTCAGGTGCGCGCCCGCGTCCCGCAGGTACGGGAGACGCGATAGCCCCGGTGCCGCGGCGGCGGAGCTGCTCCCGGGGACCGGCGGCGACGGCTCACGGTGAGCGCCCCTATCCCCGTGCCCCTGTCCCGGTGCCCCTGTCCCCCTCCCCGTGCCCCTGTCCCGGTGCCCCTGTCCCGGTGCCCCTGTCCCGGTGCCCCTGTCCCCCTCCCTGTGCCCCTGTCCCTGTGCCCCTGTCCCTGTGCCCCTGTCCCCCTCCCTGTGCCCCTGTCCCCCTCCCTGTGGGCTGCGCACCCCGGGGTGGGGGTCCCGGGCGGGTTTGGGGTCCCGGGCCGGTTTGGGCTCCCGGCGGGGGTCGGGGGTCCCCTTTCCCCTTCTCTCACCCCAGCTCTTCCCGCAGGTTCGATGACGACTCCTCGTGGTGACCGCCCCGCCCAGCCCCCCCTGTCCCCCAAATCCTCCCCACCTCTCCAGGTCCCCCCAGGGGACCCAGACCAGCGCAGCCCCCCCCCGCTGGGGGGCCGGGGACCCCCAGAACCCGGCCCGGGGGTGTCCCGCTGCCGGGGGGGCCCCGACCCCGTCCCCTCCCCACCGCTGCCGGGGGGGATCCCGCACGGCCCCGCAGCGACAATAAAGAGCTCAATCGTGGGCACGGCGGCTCTGCGTGGGGGCGCGGGGGGCGTGGGGGGCGTGGGGGGCGCGGGGGGCGTGGGGGGCGTGGGGCCGGGCAGGGGGATGGAGGGGGGATGGAGGGATGGAGGGGGGATGGAGGTGGAGGGGTGCAGGGGGGTGGGAGGGGGGATGGAGGGAGGATGGAGGGGGGATGCAGGGGTGCAGGGGGGTGGGAGGGGGCTCAGGGGGATGGGGAGGGATTGGGGGGTGAAAGGAGGGGGGTAGAGCAGAAAGGGGTGTGGGGTGGGAATTTTGGAGGAGGGGGTGCGTAGGGAAGGGTGGGAGTGGGGCTGGGGTTGGGCACTGGGGTGCCCGGGGCAATGGGGGGCTCTGGGGGGGATCGGCGCTGATGAATGTCGGGGTGCACCCAGGGGTGGGGACATTCGTGCTGGTGCCGCCCCTCCACCGTCCCCCTATCCCACTGCCCCCCTCTGTCCTCTCCTGCCACCCTGGCACCCCCCAGCCCCCCTGGCCGTGCCCCTCTGTCCCTGTGTCCCTCCGTGGGGCCGGACACGCGTGTCCACGTCCCGTCCCCTCCCGGGGCCCCAGCGCGGGGTCAAACATTAACCCGAGCCGTGCGGGGCCAGCTGGCCCTGTCCCCCTCCCCGGCCACCGCTGCTGCGTGGCGGTGACATCAGCGGGACGCGGGGACTTAAGGGCCGGCCCGGCGGTGGCACCGAGCACCGGAGCGTCCGGCAGCGACCCCGGCCCGGCCCGAGGGACAAGGTGAGTGCGGAGCTCGGGGGTGCGCGGGGACAGGTGTGAGGGGACAGGTGTGGGGGGACAGGTGTGAGGGGACAGGTGTGAGGGACAGGTGTGAGGGGACAGGTGTGAGGGGACAGGTGTGAGGGACAGGTGTGAGGGGACAGGTGTGAAAGGACAGATGTGCAGGGACAGGTGTGCGGGGACAGATGTGAAAGGACAGGTGTGAGGGGACAGGTGTGCAGGACAGGTGTGTCCAGCTGCGCTCAGGTGTGTCCAGGTGTGCTCAGGTGTGTGAGTGCTCTGTGTCCAGGTGTGTCCAGGTGTGTCCAGGTGTGTCCAGGTGTGCTCAGGTGTGCCCAGCTGCACTCAGGTGTGCCCAGCTGCGCTCAGGTGCGCACTCTGCCCGCCGGAACGCCCCGGTCCCCTGTCGGTGCGGTGTCCCGGTGTGTGTCCCGGTGTGTCCCGCAGCCATGGCCCCGCCGCTGCCGCTGCTGCTGCTGTTGTGTGCCGCGGCGCTGCTGCCGGAGCGGCCCCGCGCGGCCCCGGTGCATCCCGCCTTCCCCGGGCCCGAGGCGCCCGCCGAGGAGCTGCTGCGCTTCTACAACGACCTGCAGCAGTACCTGAACGTCGTCACCCGCCCGCGGTGAGCGGCGCTCGCTGGCGCGACACAGCCCCCCTTATCGCGACATGCCCGCAGCACGGCGCTCCCCACCCGATGTGCTGCCAGCGTGGCGTGCTCCCTTCGTGACCCGCTCCCTGTCGTGACCCGCTCCCTGTCGCGACACGCTCCCCATCACGAGGTGCTCCCTATCACGACCCACTGCCTATCGTGACATGCTTCCTATCGTGACACTCTCCCCATCTCAATGCACGCCCCATCGCTACACCCTCTCTGTCGCGCCCCTGTCCCTGTCGCGCCCCTGTCCCTGTCGCGTCCCGCTCCCTGTCGCGCCCCTGTCCCTGTCGCGCCCCTGTCCCTGTCGCGACACGCTCCCTGTCGCGCCCCTCTCCCTGTCGTGCCCCTCTCCCTGTCGCGCCCCTGTCCCTGTCGCGCCCCTGTCCCTGTCGCGCCCCTCTCCCTGTCGCGCCGCTGTCCCTGTCGCGCCCCTGTCCCTGTCCCGCCCCTGTCCCTGTCCCGCCCCTCTCCCTGTCGCGACACGCTCCCCGCGGGTGCCGCTGTCCCCGTAACGCGTCCCCGTTGCAGGTACGGGAAGCGCGCAGGGGGGCGAGCGCTGGGCGAGGATCCCCATGGCACCCCGGGGTGCTGAGCCCCAGGTGAGGGCGGGGGGCGCGGGAGGAGCCCCCCCGGCTGCCCCCGGCCCCCCCCGGCTCCCCCCGGCTCCCCCCGACCTCCCCCGGCCTCAGTTTCCCCAGCGGGGACAGCCCGGGGGGAAGGGGGGCTCTGGGCGGTGTGGGGGACGTGGGGCTGGGGGGTCTCAGGGGTCCCTGAGGGTGTCGGGATGGGGGACGTGGGGCTGGGGGTCTCAGGGGTCCCTGAGGGTGTCAGGGTGGGGTGGGGGACGTGGGGCTGGGGGGTCTCGGGGGGCCCTGAGGGTGTCAGGGTGGGGGATACGGGACCGGGAGGATCGGGGGGCTCTGTGGGGAGGGGGACACGGGGCTGGGGGGCCCTGTGTGACCCCCGCCCCCCATTTTGTTTCAGGGACACCGCCGGGGCCGAGTGAGAAGCGGCCCAGGAGGGGCAGCGCCCCCCGCCCCCGCTGCACCCCCGACCCCCCCCCAGAGCCGGGACAGACCCCCGGGAATGAAAATAAACCAATAAACCCCCGCAGCCACCGCCTGTCTGCCTCTGCCTGCCGGGGACACACCCTGGGGACACACACGGGGGACACTGGGGACACGGGGGACATGGGGGACACGGGGGACACGGAGTGGCTGTACTGGGGACACTGGGGGTGCTGTACTGGGGACACTGGTGACACTGGGGACACGGAGTGGCCGTGCTGGGGACACTGGGGGTGCTGGCGTTGTGGACACGCCCACGCGGCCGCCCTGTCCCTGTCCCCGTCCCCGTCCCCGTCCCTGCCGCCGCCCGCCGGTGCCAGTCGCGCGTGTCCCGCGATGCCGGCGGCCGCCCCCGCCTCGGTCACGGGTGAGCGCCCACGGGGGGGGGGGGGGGCGGGGAGGGGCACGCGCGTGTGCGAACACCCCCCCACACGCACCGTGCACGCGTGGGCAGGGTGGGGGTGGCCCACGCGTGTGTGTGCGGGGTGGGGGGGGGGGGCGCTCCCCCGCGGGCGCGGCCCCTTTAAATCCGCGCTCCCGCCCCCCCCCTCCCACCGCCCCCTTAAAGGGGCCGAGTCCCGCCGGCCCCCTCCCCACGCCGCGGGGCGCTGCGGGGGGGGTCCCACCCGCCGGCGGGGCGGGCGTGCAAGGACGGGCGTGCAAGGACGGGTGAGCGGGGGAGACGCGCGTGGGGAGGCGCACGTGCACCCACGCGGGAGCGCGCCGTTGTTCGGAGCGGGGGGGGTGGGCCGCGCGTGTCCGCGGGCGTGCGTGTGCCCACGCGGGAGACGCGCGTGCCCGCGCCGTGCCCGCGCGTGGGAGCTCCCGCCGGGTGTGCAAAGCGGCCGGTGCACGCGCGTGTGCAAGGCGCGGGGGCGCGCGGGGGGGCTCCACGCGGGGCCGGGGGTTGCGGGGGGGCGGCGGTACCCGGATCTGGGGGGGAGCGCGGCCCCGCAGCCATGAGCCGCCCCGGGCCCGGGTCCGCACCGCCCCCCCCGGACCCCCCAGGTACGGGGCGGGAGGCGCGGGGGGCGATGCCCCGGGGGGGGCGCGGGATGGGGATGGGGATGGGACAGGTGGAGGGAGATGGGGCTGGGGGTTCGGGGCGTGCTGGGACCCTCCAACATGGGGGCGAGGGGCTGATGGATGTCCCCCCCGCCCCCCCGCCCCCATCGCCATCGTCCCCCGCCATTGCAGCGCAGCCGCGCAGCCGCTCCCGCCCCCGCGGCCCCGGATGCGGCCCCCCCCCAATTGCATCGCCCCCCCATCTTATCGCTGCCCGCATCGCCCCCCCAATGCACCCCCCCCCGCACTGCCCCCCGCATCACCCCCCCTTGTCTGTGCTCCGGGGGCTTTGGCCTGCACGGTGACAATTTCGGGGGGTCCATCCTCTCCTCCCCCCCCGAAAGAGGAGGGGGCATTGCCGCACTGCCAGCGGACCCCGACACTCGTCCCCGGATCGGGCGGGGGGCGCAGGGGGGGCTGTGACAGAATGGGGGGGCCGCGGGCACCCCCGGCTGCACTCGCACCCACGCTGCTGCTCCTGCCCCCGCCCCGTGTCCCCCCCGTGTCCCGTTTGTCCCCCCGTGTCCCTGTGTCCCCCCCAGCCATGCAGCAGGTCCTGGACAACCTGATGGGGCTCCCGGGGACCCCGGGGGTGGCCGACCTCGACCTCATCTTCCTCCGCGGCATCATGGAGAGCCCCATCGTCCGCTCCCTGGCCAAGGTGTGGGGGGCGCGGGGGGCGCGGGGGGCGCGGGACCCCCTCGACACCCCCGGGACGTGCGGGGGGTGCCCCCCGTGTGTGTGTGCGCGTGCACGGGTCCTGTGCGCGTGTGTGTGTCCCTGTTCCCCACACCCGGGGGTCCCTATTCCCCCCAGCACCCCCAGATCCCCAATTCCCCTGTCCCCGGGGGTCCCTAACAACTCTGCTGCCCCAGCCCCTGAGCCCCCGGCTCCGTGATCCCCTCGGCCCCTCCGCGTGTCCCCAATCCCCCCTTCCCCCCGAGGTCCCCCCCGCCCCCGGGGGTCCCTAATCCGCCCCAGGGCTCCTTGGGGACACCCTGTCCCCCCGGAGGGTCCCCGATCCCCTCATCCGCCGGGGATCCCGGGTCCCCCGGGGCTCGGGGGTCTCCGCCCTTAGCCGCCCGTCCCCGGGGGTGTCCCCAGGCCCACGAGCGGCTGGAGGAGCGGAAGCTGGAGGCGGTGCGCGGGGACAACCTGGCGCTGGTGCAGGAGATCCTGCGGGACATCGGCCGCCTGGCGCGGGCGGACGCGCAGGGAGCGGCGGCGGAGCTGGCCCGGATCCTGCGGGAGCCGCACTTCCAGGTGCGCGGGGGGCGAGCGGGACCCTCCGGCCCGTGCGGGAGGCGCCACACGCCTGCGGGACACGCGTGGGACCCAGCGGTGACCCCCGCCCCGCCCCGCGTGTCCCAGTCGCTGCTGGAGACCCACGACTCGGTGGCCGCCAAGAGCTACGAGCCTCCCCCGAGCAGCCCCGGCCCCGAGCCCGCGCTGGGGGCGCAGCCCGTGCCCCCCGACGCCGTGCGCATGGTGGGCATCCGCAAGGCAGCCGGGGAGAACCTGGTGAGCCCGGCCGGGGGGACATTTTGGGGTGCTGGGAGGTTTTGGGGTGCTGGAGGGTGTTGGGGCGTTGCAGGGCGATGGGAACACTGGCAGCATTTTGGGGTGCCGGGGGCGTTGCGGGGTGTTGGGGCATTTTGGGGTGCCGGGGCCACAGCGGGGTGAGGCGCGGGTGTCCCGGGCGTGTCCCCGCGGGGCTGAGCGGGGCTGTCCCCTCAGGGGGTGACGTTCCGCGTGGAGCGGGGGGAGCTGGTGATCGCCCGCATCCTGCACGGGGGGATGGTGGCGCAGCAGGGGCTGCTGCACGTGGGGGACGTGATCCGCGAGGTGAACGGCCGCGAGGTGGGCAGCGACCCACGCGCGCTGCAGGACAGCCTGCGCCACGCCAGCGGCAGCGTCGTGCTCAAGATCCTGCCCAGCTACCAGGAGCCGCACCCGCCCCGCCAGGTACCGCTGCATCCCGCCTGCATCCCGCCTGAATCCCGCCTGCATCCCGCCCCAAATCCCGCCTGAATCCCGCCCGCATCCCGCCCGCATCCTGCCTGAATCCCGCCCCAAATCCCGCCTGAATCCCGCCTGAATCCCACCTGAATCCCACCTGAATCCCGCCTGCATCCCGCCCGCATCCCGCCCGAATTCCACCTGAATCCCGCCTGCATCCCGCCCGCATCCCGCCCGCATCCCGCCCGCATCCCGCCTGAATCCCGCCTGAATCCCGCCCGCATCCCGCCTGCATCCCGCCTGCATCCCTCCTGCATCCCGCCCGCATCCCTCCTGCATCCCGCATCCCCCCCTGCCCACAGCCCCCCTGCCCTGTGCTCGCCCCCCGTGCTGTCCCCCTGTCGGTGCCATGTGCCCCTGTCAGGTGGGACCCCCGTGTCCCCCCCGTCCCTCTGTGCCGGGCGCTGGTGGTCCCTGCGCCGTCCCCATCCCCGCACAGGGGGTCATTGATGCCTGGGAGGGGGCGGCGGGGGACACAAGGGACAGCGAGGGACCCCCACCCTGCCAAGGGGAGAAGGGGGTCCCCGAGGGGGGGTTGTGGCCTGGGGGACAGGCTGGGGACCCCCCAAACCCCACACAGGAGCCGGGTGCCGGCTGGCAAAGGGTGCCCCGTGCTGCCCCTCCCCGCCCCGTGCCAGCCACCCCCGTCTCCGAGGGGACAAAGCAGCGCTGTCCCCGCGTGGGCTGTCCCCACGGGAGGGCTGTCCCCACGGGAGGGCTGTCCCCACGCTGTCCCGCTGCCTCCGGCGCGGTGCCCCGTGTGCCACCCGGCTGTGTCCCCGTGTGCCACCCGGCTGTGTCCCCGCACGTCCCCATGTGCGCCATCGCGGGCGCGGCGCTGGCGGCGCTGGGCACCCTCGTGTGCCTCTCGGTGGCCGTGGGGCTGTGCGTGGGGGTGGCCGCGGTGCTGGCGTGGGGCGCGGCGGCGGCGGCCGGGGCCCTGTGCGTGTGCGTGGGGGCCGTGCGGGCCTGGCTGCTCCGGGCGCGGGGGGCTCACCCCGGCCGGGGGGGCTCCTAGCGGGGACACGCGCGTGGCTGCCGCGGGTGACGCGGTCCCGCGTGTGTCCCGGGGGACGCCGAGGAGCCGGGTGGTGCTGAGGGGACGGGGGTCGCCCCCGCTGACCCCCCCCGGTCCTCAGGTGTTTGTCAAGTGTCACTTCGACTACGACCCGGCCACCGACAGCCTGATCCCCTGCAAGGAGGCCGGGCTCAGGTTCATGGCCGGGGACCTGCTGCAGATCGTCAACCAGGATGACCCCAACTGGTGGCAGGTCGGGGGGCCTGGGGGGTGGGCTGGGGGGTGGGCTGGGGGGTGGGCTCGGGGGTGGCCTGGGGGTGGTGGCGCTGTGACTCCATCCTGGGCCGTGCGGGGCGAGGGGCAGATCCAGGGGTCTCTGTGGGCTTGGGGGGTCCCCGGAGCTCGGGGGGTGTCCTTGGAGCTGGGGGGGCTACTTGGGAACTGGGGGAACCCCTGGAGCAGGGGAGGGCTCCTGTGCGGCCTGGGAGGGGTCCGGGAATTAGGGAATTTCCTGGAGTCGGGATGTGTGTCCCTATCGCGATTTGGGGGGGGGGTCCCTGGAGCTGGGGGTGTTTCCTGAGGTCGGGGGGATCTCTGGAGCACAGGGGGGTCCCCGCGGGGTCCCCACGCGTGGCTCTGTGTCCCCAGGCGTGCCACGTGGAGGGCGGCAGCGCGGGGCTGGTGCCCAGCCAGCTGCTGGAGGAGAAGCGCAAGGCTTTCGTCAGGCGGGACGGGGAGGTGGCCCCCGCGTCCGGTACGGGGACACTGTCCCCCACTGTCCCCAGGGCCCTGTCCCCTTGGCTCTGTCCCCGATCCTCGGGGTGATGTCCCCACGGCACTGCCCCTGAGGAAGATGCCAGCTCCATTGCCCCTTGTCCCCGTGCCGGGGTGCTGCCCTGTCCCTGTCCTGTCCCCATCCCTGTCCCTGTCCCCATCCCTGTCCCTGTCCCTGTCCCTGCCCTGTCCCTGTCCCTGTCCCTGTCCCTGTCCTGTCCCTGTCCCCAGCTCAGCCAGCCCTCTCCCTGCCAGGGGCCCTGTGCGGCAGCCTCAGCGGGAAGAGGAAGAAGAGGATGATGTACCTGACGACGAAGAACGCCGGTGAGTGTCGCGGGGGGGCGGTGGTGGCACCCGCTGGTTCGGGGTACCCCGGGGTGCCCGGGGACGGTGCCAGCCCTGTCCCCCGCCCAGAGTTCGACCGGCACGAGCTGCTGATCTACGAGGAGGTGGCGCGGATGCCGCCGTTCCGCCGGAAAACGCTGGTGCTGATCGGGGCTCAGGGCGTGGGGCGCCGCAGCCTCAAGAACAAACTGATCATGTCCGACCAGGCGCGCTACGGCACCACCATCCCCTGTGAGCGTCCTTGTCCCCCCTGCCACCACCCCTGTCCCCGGAGCGGCGCTGTTCCCTGCCACCACCATCGTCATTGTCCCTTGTGCCCATCCCTGTCCCTGCCACCACCATCGTCCCTGTCCCCCGTGCCCGTCCCTGTCCCCATGTCCGTCCCTGTCCGCCGTGCACATCCCTGTCCCCGTGCCCATCCCTGTCCCCCCTGGCCATCCCTGTCCCCGTGCCCGTTCCTGTCTCCCGTGCACATCCCCGTCCCCCGTGCCCGTCCCTGTCCCCATTCCCATCCCTGTCCCCCATACCCGGTCCCTGTCCCCTGTGCCCATCCCTGTCCCCCGTGCCCGTCCCCCGTGCCCATCCCTGTCCCCCGTGCCCATCCCTGTCCCCCGTGCCCGTCCCCCATACCCGGTCCCTGTCCCCGTGCCCATCCCTGTCCCCCGGTCCCTGTCCCCGTTCCCGTCCCTGTCCCCCGTCCCTGTCCCCTGTGCCCGTCCCTCTCCCCCGTGCCCATCCCTGTCACCGTGCCCATCCCTGTCCCCCATACCCTGTCCCTGTCCCCGTGCCCATCCCTGTCCCCCGTCCCCGTCCCCGTTCCCGTCCCTGTCCCCCACGCCGGTTCCCGCCCGGGCCCCGGGGCGGCGGGCGGGTGTCGCCGATGTCGCCGCCCGGCAGACACGTCGCGGAAGCCGAAGGAGAGCGAGCGGGACGGGCAGAGCTACCGCTTCGTGTCGCGGGGCGAGATGGAGGCGGACATCAGGGCGGGCCGGTACCTGGAGCACGGCGAGTACGAGGGGAACCTCTACGGCACCAGGATCGACTCCATCCGCGCCGTGGTGGCCGCGGGCAAGATGTGCATCCTGGACGTGAACCCGCAGGTGCGGGGGGACCGCGGCGGGCCCGGGGGTGCCCCGGCCCGCGGGGCTGAGCGCTGTCCCCGCACAGGCCGTGAAGGTGCTGCGGACCGCCGAGTTCGTGCCCTTCGTGGTGTTCATCGAGGCCCCCGCGCCCGAGCGGCTGCGGGCCATGAACCGCGCGGCCCTGGAGAGCGGCGTGGCCACCAAGCAGCTCACGGTGCGGCTCCGGGGAAACTGAGGCACGCTTGGGGAGGGCAGGGAAGGACACACAGGTCGCAGTGGGTGTTTCACAGCATCCCTGGAGCTGATGGGGAAACTGAGGCACGTTTGGGGAGGGGCAGGAAAAGGGCGCACAGCTCACGGTGGGGCTCTGGGGAAACTGAGGCACGCTTGGGGAGGGGCAGGAGGAGGGCGCACAGCTCACAGTGGGATCTCCCCACTGTCCCTGGAGGTGATGGGGAAACTGAGGCAGGTTTGGGGAGGGGCAGGAAAAGGGCGCACAGCCCACGATGGGATTTCCCCACAAGCCCGGGGGGCGATGGGGAAACTGAGGCAGGTTTTGGGGCGCAGGAGGCGGACGCCCAGCGCACGGTGGAGGAGAGCAGCCGCATCCAGCGCGGCTACGGCCACTACTTCGACCTGAGCCTGACCAACGACGACCTGGAGCGCACCTTTGGGCGGCTGCGGGAGGCCATGGAGCACCTCCGGGTGCAGCCCCAGTGGGTCCCGGTCACCTGGGTCTATTAGGGACCCCCGAACCCCCCCTCTACCCCCCGACCCACCCAGGGGGGCTGAGAGGGGGCGAGGGGGGCTGTCTCACCCAGGCCAAGCCCGACCCCTCTGCCCCTCCCCGCCCCAAATCTGGGGAGGGGTCCCGTGGGGGGCAGCGTCCCCCCAGAGCTCAGTCACTGCCAGAACTTGGGGAACCCCCTCGGATTGGGGATGGGGGTGCGGGGTTTGGGGGGGGGTCCCCTCGCTGTCCCCCAGGCCACAACCCCCCCTCGGGGGACCCCCTTCTCCCCTTAGCAGGGTGGGGGTCCCTCGCTGTCCCTTGTGTCCCCTGTCGCCCCTCCCCAGGTAGCAATAACCCCCTCCCCGCGCCCTGTAATTAACCCTAATTAACCCTTAACCGCCCCTGTAATTAACCCTGTCATTAACCCACGGGGGTCAGTGCCCGGGGACGCGCTGGGGGGGTCTGGGGTGGTGACACGGCTGTCCCCAAGGGACGGGCACACGGGGGGTGCGGGCTGCGCCCCCGTGCCCCCCCCGCCCCCCATCCCCGCCCCCTTTGCCCCTTTTTGGTACTTTGCTGTCAATTTTATTAAAGGAGAGAAAAAGGCGTTTGTCCCGCGTGGTGAGCGTGAGGGGGGGTTGGTGTCACCTGTGTCACCTGTGTCATACCTGTGTCACACCTGTGTCACCTGTGTCACCTGTGCCACACCCGCCAGTCTGGGGCTGGGGCTGGGGAGGGGGGGTGCGGGTGGGTGTGTCACACGCGTGTCACACGCGTGTCACCTTGCACACGCGCGGGGCCCTTCCTTGGAGCTGCCGGGAGGGGTCAGCAGAGCCGCAGGCACCGGGGGGGGCGGGGGGCGTGCAAAGGGGGTGTGGGTGTGTGAGGGGGTGTGTGGGTGCTATGTCCGTGGGTGCAGTGTCCGTGGGCCCGTGTCTGTGGGTCCGTGGGTGCAGTGTCCGTGTCTGTGTGTCCGTGTCTGTGTCCGTGTGTCCATGTCCGTGTGTCCGTGTGTCCGTGGGTCCGTGTGTCCGTGTCCGTGTGTCTGTGTCCGTGTCCGTGTGCCCATGTCCGTGTCCGTGTGTCCGTGCCCATGTCCGTGTGTCCGTGTGCCCGTGCCCGTGTGCCCGTGCCCGTGTCCGTGTGCCCGTGCCCGTGTCCGTGTGCCCGTGCCCGTGTCCGTGTGTCCGTGCCCATGTGCCCGTGCCCGGCGCTCTGTGACTTTAAGCACACCGCCCCTGCCGCCGCCGCTCTGTGCCCGCGCAGAGTTCAGAGTCCGTGACCCCAAACGACTGCCGCTATAAGGGCCGGGGCCACGCGGCCGCCCGCGCCGCACCCGTGGGTGCCTGTGGGTGCCTGTGGGTGTCTGTGGGTGTCCGTGGGTGTCTGTGGGTGTCCGTGTGTCCATCTGTATCCCTGCAGTGTCCCTGTTGTGTCCGTGTGCGTCTGTGTGTGTCCATTTGTGTCTGTGTGTGTCCCTGCCCTGTCCCTGCTGTGTCCATGTGTGTCCCTGCTGTGTCCCTGCCCTGTCCCTGCCATGTCCATGTGTGTCTGTGTGTGTCTGTCTGTGTCCCTGCCGTGTCCCTGCTGTGTCCCTGCCATGTCTGTGTGTCTGTGTGTGTCTGTCTGTGTCCCTGACATGTCCTTGCAGTGTCCCTGCCATGTCCCTGTGTGTCCCTGATGTGTCCCTGCCCTGTCCCTGCCCGGTCCCTACCCTGTCCCTGCCATGTCCATGTGTGTCCCTGCCCTGTCCCTGCTGTGTCCCTGCCATGTCCGTGTGTGTCCCTGCCCTGTCCGTGTGTGTCTCTGCCCTGTCCCTGCCATGTCCATGTGTGTCCCTGATGTGTCCCTGCAGTGTCCCTGCCCTGTCCCTGATGTGTCCCTGATGTGTCCCTGCCATGTCCCTGCCATGTCCGTGTGTGTCCCTGCCCTGTCCCTGACGTGTCCCTGCGCTGTCCGTGTGTGTCCCTGCCATGTCCATGTGTGTCCCTGATGTGTCCCTGACGTGTCCCTGCCCTGTCCCTGCAGTGTCCCGGCCCTGTCCCTGCCGTGTCCCCGCGTGTCCTCTCTGAGCCACCCGAGGCGGTGACAGCCATGTGGCCGGTGCTGCTGCTGGTGCTGCTGGTGGCCCTGGCCGTGGTGGCCCTGGCCCGGAAGGTGAATCGGCTGCTGGGCCCGGCCGGGAACCCCTTCAGCCGTCCCCTGGAGCCACCACGGCCACTGGTGACCAACCCACGGGCCCGTGACAGGGTCCTGAAGCAGGGTGAGTGTCCGTGTGTCTGTGTGTTTGTGTGTTTGTGTCTCTGTGTGTCCGTGTGTCTGTGTGTCCGTGTGTCCGTGTGTCTGTGTGTCTGTGTGTTTGTGTGTCCGTGTGTCCGCGTGTTTGTGTGTCCGTGTGTCTGTGTGTCTGTGTGTCTGTGTGTCTGTGTGTCCGTGTGTCCGTGTGTCTGTGTGTCTGTGTGTCTGTGTGTCTGTGTGTTTGTGTGTCCGTGTGTCTGTGTGCCCACGTGTTTGTGTGTCTGTGTGTCTGTGTGTCCGCGTGTTTGTGTGTGTGTGTGTCTGTGTGTCCGTGTGTCCGTGTGTCTGTGTGTCTGTGTGTCTGTGTGTGTGTGTGTTTGTGTGTCCGTGTGTCTGTGTGTCTGTGTGTCCCTGTGTCCACGTGTTTGTGTGTCCGTGTGTCTGTGTGTCCGTGTGTCTGTGTGTCCGTGTGTCCATGTGCCCATGTCCGTGTGTTTGTGTGCCCATGTCCGTGTGTCCCCGTGTCCGTGTGCCTGTGCCCATGTCTGTGTCCGTGTGTCTGCATGTCCGTGTCCGTGTGCCCGCGTGTCCCTGCCCGTGTCTGTGTCCATGTGTCCGTGTGTCCGTGTGTCCGTGTGTCCGTGTGTCCGTGTGTCCGTGTGTCCGTGTGTCCGTGTGTCTGTGTGCCCGTGTGTCCGTGTGTCCGTGCCTGCCGTGCCGCGGTCATGCGTGCTCTCCGTGTCCCGGCGCTCACGGTGCCCGGTGTGGCAGGGTTCAGTGCCCGGCGGGTGCCGGCCGGGCTGGACGCGGTGGTCATCGGCAGCGGCATCGGGGGCCTGGCGGCGGCCGCCACGCTGGCCAAGGCGGGCCGGCGGGTGCTGGTGCTGGAGCAGCACGACCAGGCCGGGGGCTGCTGCCACTCCTTCCAGCTGCGCGGCTTCGAGTTCGACGTGGGTGAGGAGCCGGCCAGGCGTGCCTGGCATCCCTGGCACCCTCTGTCACCCCTGGTACCCCCTGGCACCCCTGGCACCCCTGGCACCCTGACTGCCACCCCCTGCCACCCCTGCCATCCTCTGTCACCCCTGGCACCCCTGCCTGCCACCCCTGGCACCCCTGGCTGTCACCCCTGGCACCCTGCCTGCCACCTCCTGTCACCCTGCCTGCCACCCCCTGGCACCGCCAGCACCCCTGGCACCCCTGTCACCTGCCTGCCACCTCCTGTCACTCCTGGCACCCTGCCTGCCACCCCCTGGCACCCCTGCCTGCCACCCCTGGCACCCCTGGCTGTCACCCCCTGCCACCCCCTGCCACCCCTGTCATGCCTTGTCACCACCTGCCACCCCCATCCGTGCCTTGTCACTCCCTGTCCCTGCCATGTCCCTGCCATGTCCCCGTCCCTGTCCCTGCCATGTCCCTGCTCTGTCCCTGCCATGTTCATGCCCTGTCTGTGCCCTGTCCGTGCCCTGTCCCCGTCCCTGTCCCTGCCGTGTCCCTGTCCTGTCCCTGCCGTGTCCCTGCCATGTCCCTGCCCTGTGTTCCGTGTCCCTGCCGTGTCCCACCCTGTCCCCTCAGTGCCACACCATCCAAACCCAAGCTCTGCCCTCCCCCGCTGCTCCCACGCCACCGTGCCACGTCCCCGCTGTCCCCCAGCGTGTCCCCTGTCCCCACAGGCATCCACTACGTGGGGCAGCTGCACGAGGGGAGCCTCCTGCGGGTGGCCCTGGACCAGGTGACAGACGGGCAGCTGTGCTGGCAGCGCCTGCCCGACCCCTACGACGAGGTGACCCTGGGGACACGGCGCTACCTGATCCGCTCTGGCAAGGTGGCCTTTGTCACCGCGCTGGAGGAGCAGTTCCCCGAGGAGAAGGACGCCATCAGGGAGTTCATGAGGATCTCCAAGGTGTGGCCCTCGGTCACCTCCCCGCGGGGCTGGCATGTCCCCGGGAGGGGTCAGCGGGGCACGGTGGCACCGGTGGGGACGTGGGGGTGCTCGTGCTGGGGAAGGGGCTGCGGGCACAGAGGGGACACGAGTGACAACCGTGGGGGACATGGCTGGGGGGTGTGGTGGGCATGGTGGGGACATGGGGGACACCGAGGGGACACCGAGGGGACAAAGAGGGGACACAGAGGGGACACAGAGGGGACACAGAGGGGACACGGAGAGGACACGGAGAGGACACAGAGGGGACACAGGGGACACGGGTGCTATGCCGCGGGTGGCCCCGGGGTCGCAGCAGTGGCAGCCCTGCGGGCAGGCGGTGGCACAGGGTGGTGGCGGTGGCACAGGGCGGTGGCCCGGTGGCAGCAGTGGCCCGGTGGCACCGCGGCTGTCCCGCAGGTGGCCGCGCGGCACGTGCCGCTGCTGGCCATGCTGAAGCTGGTCCCCAAGTGGCTCGTCACCGTCCTGCTGCGCTCGGGGCTCCTGCACCTCCTGTCCCCCGTGTTCCGCATGGCCACCACCAGCCACAGCCGCGCCGTGGCGCGCCTCACCTCCAACCCCGACCTGCGCGCCATCTTCACCTACCTCTTCTACGGTCAGCGGCTGTCGCGATAGGGACGGGCTGTCGCGACAGGGAGGGCGGCAGGTGGAGGAGGAGGAGGGCGGTAACGCAGCGGCGGAGGTTGTGTCGCGACATGGGGCGGCACCATCACGACGTGGGCAGCGCTGTTGGGATGGGGGAGGCTGTGTCGCGAGGGACGGGCCGTGTCGCGATAGCGCTCGGGGAGGGCACCGCGGCGAGGGCGGAGGGGCCGTGTGGCGATAAGGGAGGGTGACATCGCGGAGAGAGGGAGGCCAGCCGCGCCCGTGTCCCCCCCGCTGTCGCGACAGGCTCGGCGCCGCAGGACTCGAGCTTGCTGGTGAACACGCTGATGGTTCACCACTACCAGCGCGGGGCCTGGTACCCGCGTGGGGGGGCCAGCGAGATCGCCTTCCACGCCGTGCCCGTCATCGAGCGCGCGGGGGGCGCCGTGCTCGTGCGCGCCCCCGTCACGCGCGTGCTCGTCGGTGATGACGGCTCCGCCCGGGGTGAGCGCCGGGACCCCCCCCAAACCCCGCCCGAGCGGGGGGGACGCGCTGGCAGCGCCCCGAGTGTCCCCTGAACCCCCCTCCCCACTGGTGTCCCCTGCTCCACCCCGCGTGTCCCCTGTCCCCGCGTGTCCCCAGGGGTGGCGGTGCGGACGGGTGAGGGGGAGCTGGAGATCCGCGCCCCCCTGGTCATCTCCGACGCGGGGGTCTACAACACCTTCGGGAAGCTGCTGCCCCCCCACGTCCGCAGCCAGCCCGGTAAGGTGCCACTCGTGTCCCCGTGTCCCTCGCGTGTCCCCAGCACCCCTGGTGTCCCCGTGTCCCTCGTCCCTCCTGGCACCTCCGTGTCCCAGCAGGGCAAAGTGCCACCCCCGTGTCCTTGTCCCAGCAGGGCAAAGTGCCACCCCCGTGTCCTTGTCCCAGCAGGGTCATATTCCACATCTGTGTCCCCTGCCCTGGCAGGACAAGGTGCCACCACCGTGGCCTTGTCTGGGCAGGGTCAGGTTCCACCCCCGTGTCCTCTGCCCGGGCAGGGCCAAGTGCCACCCCCATGGCCTTGTCCTGGGAGGGCCAGTGCCACCCCCGTGTCCTTGTCTGGGCAGGGTCATATTCCACGTCTGTGTCCCCTGCCCTGGCAGGACAAGGTGCCACCCCCATGTCCCCTGCACAGGCAGGGCCGGGTGCCACCTCGTGTCCTTGTCTGCAGGGTCAGGTGCTACCCTGGTGTCCCCTGGACAAGCAGGGCCAAGTGTCACCCCATGTCCCCTGCATGGCCAGACCAGGTGCCACCTTGCTGTCCCCTGCCCTGCCCGGCCCAGGTGCCACCGCGCTGTCCCCTGCCCTGCCTGAGCCAGGTGCCACCCTGCTGTCCCCTGCCCGGCCCAGGTGCCACCCCACTGTCCCCTGCCCGGCCCAGGTGCCACCCCGCTGTCCCCTGCCCGGCCCAGGTGCCACCGCGCTGTCCCCTGCCCTGCCCGGCCCAGGTGCCACCCCACTGTCCCCTGCCCTGCCTGGCCCAGGTGCCACCCCACTGTCCCCTGCCTGGCCCAGGTGCCACCCCGCTGTCCCCTGCCCGGCCCAGGTGCCACCCTGCTGTCCCCTGCACAAGCAGGGCCAGGTGCCACCCCGCTGTCCCCTGCCTGGCCCAGGTGCCACCCCGCTGTCCCCGCAGATGTCCGTGCCATCCTGGACATGGTGCAGCCAGCCATGAGCTCCTTCCTGGTGTTCGTGGGGCTGAGGGGCACCGCGGCCGAGCTGGACCTGCCCGCCACCAACTTCTGGATCTACCCCCACAGCGACCTGGATGCCATGTGAGGGGCCTGGCAGCCCGGGGGGGGCACGGCGGGTGGGTGGGGGGCACGGGGGACATCACAGCCCCGTGTCCCCGCAGGATGACCGAGTACACCGCCCTGAGCCGCGACGAGGTCCCCGAGAACCTGGCCATGATATTCATCACCTTCCCCGCCGCCAAGGACCCCACCTACGAGCAGCGGCACCCAGGTACCCCCGGGGGGTCCCCCACGTCCCCCCAGCTCCCTCCGCGGGCTCGGGGGGTCCGCGGTGCCCCCGGGGGAGGTGTCACCGGCTGTCCCCGGCCGCAGGTAAGTCCTGCATGACCATCCTGACCCTGGCGCGCTACGAGTGGTTCGAGGAGTGGTCCGGGAGCCGCCCCCGCCACCGCGGCCACGACTACGACAGCTACAAGATGGACATCGCCCAGCGGCTGCTGGAGAAGGCCCTGCTCCGCTTCCCGCACCTGCGGGACAAGGTGGGGGCCGGGCTGCCCCGCGTGGGTGGGGGTCCCGCCGTGGGTGGGTGCCCCGCGTGGGTGGGGGTCCCGCCGCGCCCCCGGCACGCCGGCAGCCCCGTGGTGTCCCGCAGGTGGAGCACATGGAGGCGGCCACCCCGCTCAGCAACCAGCACTACCTGGCGGCCGCGCGGGGGGAGATGTACGGCGGCGAGCACAACCTGCGCCGCTTCAGCTGCGACGTGGCCGTGGCCCTGAGACCCGAGACCCCCGTGAAGAACCTCTACCTGACAGGTGAGGGGCGGTGTCCCCGTGTCCCCGTGTCCCTGTGTCCCCATGTCCCCATGTCCCCGTGTCCCCGTGTCCCCATGTCTCCATGTCCCCATGTCCCCATGTCTCCATGTCCCCGTGTCCCCATGTCCCCGTGTCCCCGTGTCCCCACGGCCAGCTCCAGTGGCCACATCCCCCCCGGGGTTGTCCCTGTGCCCCCCGGGGGTGTCCCTGTGCCCCCCGGGGGTGTCCCTGTGCCTCCCGGTGGTGTCCCTGTGCCCCGCTGGGGTGTCCCTGTGCCCCCCGGGGGTGTCCCTGTGCCCCGCCAGGGTGTCCCTGTGGCACGGTGGCTGTCCCCAGGGCAGGACGTGTTCTGCTGCGGGCTGGCGGGGGCTCTGCACGGGGGGCTGCTCTGCGCCTCGGCCATCCTGGGCCGGCTGCTCTACCGGGACCTGCAGCTCCTCAAGGTGCAGATCAAGCGGCGCCAGGGCCAGCACGCGACATGAGGGGACAGCGGCCTGGGGACAGCGGCCCGGGGACAGCGGGCCGGGGACAGCCGTGCTCCGTGCTCGGGGACAGCCGTGCTCCGTGCTCCGTGCCCGGGATGGCTCCGTGCCCGGGGATGGCTCCCAGCTCAATAAACCCCGATGTCCCAGCGGCCAGCAGCTGTTTTTGGGGAGGGGCTGGAGGTGGGGAGAGGGATGGGACAGGGACCGGGACTGGGATAGGGATGGGGACAGGGATAGGGGTGAGACCGAACGGAGAGAGGGCTGGGGATGGGGATGGGGGTGGGCACAGGGAGCACACGCAGCTGCGGGTAAATGGGGGTGCAGAACCCCCTGAAACGTTCCCCCCTCCTCCCTTTGCACTCCCCGAGCTTCTCCAGCCCTGCCCTCCCCCAAGCAGAGTCCGAAATTCTTCACACTTTTAAATATAATAAATAAATAGGGGAATTCTCAGTGGGGCAGCTTGGGGAAACGAGGGGCCGTGAGGCCAGGCCATCCAGGCGGTCCTGAAGGGTCCGTGTCCCCCCGAGTGAAGGCGAGAGTTGTCACCAGCTGTCCTTGGAGGGGGTCACCTCTAGGTCCGGGTGCTGAAGGGGGGCTGAGCTGCGGGGTTGTGGCCGCATTCGGGGCACGGCCCCCCGAGCAGGGGGTACAGGAAGGGCTTGGCTGTCACCTGAGGGCGAGAGGGGACATGTGGCACACCCAGGGGACAAGTGGCACCCTCAGGGGACAAGTGGCACCCTCAGGGGACATGCGGCACACCCAGGGGACAAGTGGCACCCTCAGGGGACAAGTGGCACCCTCAGGGGACATGCGGCACACCCAGGAGGTTCCCCAGGGAAAGAGGGGGTCCCCCTTCATGGGCAAGGCAGCCCAGCACCCCACATCCCATCGCCCCACAGCGCACACCCCACTTCCCACCACCCCGCACCCCACATCCCATCACCCCCACCCCATCACCCCCCACCCCCCGGCCCCACTCCGGGCTCAGCCCCCCGGCGGGACCCACCGGACCCACCTCGCTGTAGGGCGGCGGCTCCGGCCCCGCGGGGACGGCGGCGCGGGGCACCGGGGGCAGCAGGGTGGGCGCGGGGGGCACGGAGCCACGGGGGTCTCGGTGGGGCGGGCCGGGCGCGGGGCTCTGCGGGCTCCTGTAGGCGGGGGGCGGCACCGGGTCCTGGCAGAGCTCACGGATGATGTGGAAGGTGAGGAGGAGGATGGTGATGGCTACGAGGGTGATGATGGTGATGGAGAACATGGCCCTGGGGACACCAAGAGATGCGTGCTGGGGGCTGGCATGTCCCCCCAGCCCTGTCCCCACACTCGCAGAGCTCCCAGGGTGTCTCTATCCCCCCTCCCCCTCCCCAGGGACCCCTCCCGGGCCTGGCTCCCGCCCCCCGCCCCCGAACCCGGTGTGCCCCGGCGCCGCCGCCTCACCTCCGTGCCACGGCCGCTCTCTGCCCCGGGGCACCCCACGGCCCGCGCCCAGCACCCCACACCCGCCGCCCTTTGCACCCTCCCTGCCCCACTGCGCACCTTGCCCTGGGTGGGGGGCCCGTGGGGCAGTTTGGGGTGACTGGGGCCGCCCCGGGGGCTTTGGGAAGGGTGGGGCCATGCCAAGGGGGGCTGGCACCTCGCTGAGGGCGCTGCGGGGGATGGAGGGGCGGCCTGGGTGGCGCAGGGCGCGCTCAGGGTGGCACAAGGGGTGCTCGGGGTGGCACAGGGGACCCCCGGCCCTGCCCGGAGTCGTGCCCGGACCGCGGGGGTGAAGCGCCGTGAGCTCCCAAATCCCATCGGCGGCTGAGCCCCGCGCCGGGGCGATCCGGGGGCGGTCCGGGGGTGAACCGGGGGCGATCCGGGGGTGGACCTGGCGTGAACCGGGGGCGAGAACGGGAACGGGAACAGGGACGGGAATGGGAATGGGAACGGAGGATGCACACAGCTGGACACACCTGGCGACACACGGACACACCTGGCGACACACGGACACAGCTGGACACACACGGACACGCACACACAGAGGCGCACACGGACACACAGACGGACACACAGACGGACACACGCCCATCATCCTTGGCACACGGCCCCTGTGCCTGCAGGAACGGCTGTGCCAACCCCGCACCCGGCTGCCAAGGCTGCCACGGTGCCACCAGCCCCGGCGCAGGGACAGGCGCCATCCCCGGCCGTGTCCCCGGGTGACCCCGTCCCGCCGCTCTCCCGTTTCCCGGCCCAGGGCGGCGTCCCGGGAGGGGCCAGCGGGACCGCCGGGCACCGGTGCCGCCCGGGCACGGCCACACCGGGGTGGGACGCGCCGCTGTCACCGGGAACTCCTCGCCGCGGTAGGAGGCGGGAGAGCCCCGGGCAGCCCCCGTTCCCCCCGCCCGCTCCGGGCTGCCCCGGCCGCGCTCGCAGACGCGCGGTTGCGTAACCCGCGGTGACGAGGCCCCCCAAAAACGTGAGAACCGGCGGTGGCTGAGGCCCCACGGCGGGGCGGGGCCCCGCAGGCGCTGCCGGTGTGCCTCGGTTTCCCCGGGAGAGCGCGGCCGGGATGCCCCGTGCGGAGGGAGGTCCCCGGCCGAGCGTCCCTGTCCCCTCCCCGGGGCCGCGCGGGCCGCGGGTGCGCGCACACGCGCTGTGCTCGCTGCCCTGTGCGCACACGCGTGTGCAAGCGTGTCCGAGTGTGCACGGGCCGCGATCCCCGCACGGACCCCGCGTGTCCCCCTGTCCCCATCCCCATCGGGGCCGCCGTCCCCCCAGCCCCCTCCCCGCCCCCGCCTGGCCCCGTGCCCCCCTCCCCACCGCGGCCCCTCTCCCCTCCCTCGGCCCGGCCTTTTCCCTTCCAGCTCCCTGTTTGAAGCGATTTTTTCCACAGCTCCTGCCAAGAGCCGCTAATGAGAAACAAACGCGCTGCTCGGCCGCGCTGCTCCCGGCCCACACACCTCCGGCCGCGGGGCCGGTCCTGCGCCTCCCGGTGCCCTCCTGGCACCGGCCCCGGGCACCTGCATCCTGCCCGGCTGGCACCGGCACGGGGCACCTGCATCCTGCCCGCCTGGCACCGCCGTCCTTGCCACCAGCCCCGTCCTCCCTGCCCGGAGCCATCCCCGGGCACCTCCATCCTCCTGGGGCATCTCTGTCCTGCCCACGTCACCATCCCTGAGCATCTTAGCTGTCCCCGTGTCACCATCCCAGGGCGTCACCAACCCCCCCCTCCAGCACCGTCCCTGAGCATCTCCATCCTGCCCACCCAGCGTCACCCATGGGCATCTCTGTCCTGTCCATGTGCCACTGTCCCTGGGCATCTCTGTGCTGCCCAGTGCCACCATGCCTGGCACCCCATCCTCTCCTGTCACCACCCCTGTGACCCCATCCCCTCCTGTCACCATCCCTGTGACCCCATCCTCCCCTGTCACCACCCCTGTGACCCCATCCTCTCCTGTCACCACCCCTGGCACCCCATCCTCTCCTGTCACCACCCCTGTGACCCCATCCCTGTCACCACCCCTGTGACCCCATCCTCTCCTGTCACCATCCCTGGCACCCCATCCTCTCCTGTCACCACCCCTGTGACCCCATCCCTGTCACCACCCCAGGGCATTTCTGTTCTGTCCCCGTCCCTGGGTCTCTGCCGCGCTGCAGGGCCGGGCCGGGCCGGCCCAGGTGCCTCCAGGCTCTGGTGTCCCCTGTTCCCCGGTGTCCCTGCGGCCGGGCCGGGTGCCAGGGCGGTGCCAGGGCGGGGAGCAGCGAGGTGCGGGGGAGTCCCGAGCCGTCCCCCGCGGCTCCCCCGGTGCCGCAGCCAAGCCCGCGCTGTTCCCGCTGGCCCCGGGCCGGCCCCGGTTATCGGCCGCTCACATTTTCCACCGAGCCCGGTTTGGGTTTGTGTCTGACAGCGCCGGCAGGAGGGAGGGAGGGACCCCCGAAGGGAGGGAGGGACCCCCGAGCCCACCGCGGGGTTCAGGGAGGCGGGCACGGGAGGGGGATCCCGGCCCGGGGAGGGGGCACTGGCCGAGGTTGGCACCGAGCGTGGGAGCAGCGCCCGGGAATGGGAGCAGGGATCAGAGCGAGCCCAGCGCCGGGAGAGGGAGCGGGACCGGGGCTTGGAGGCACCGCGGGGCTGGGGGAGCAGCGTCCGGGGACGGGAGCGGTACCGGGGACGGGAACGATGCCCGGGCACGGGAGCGGTACCCGGGGACGGGAGCGGTACCCGGGCACGGGAGGGGACGGGAGCGGTACCCGGGCACGGGAACGATGCCCGGGCACGGGAGCGGTATCCGGGCACGGAAGCGGTACCCGGGCACGGGAACGATGCCCAGGGATGGGAGCAGCACCCCGGGAAGGAAATCCCGGGCACACAGAGCCGGCACTGCCCGAGCCGAACGTTCTCTCGTCCCACCCTTGAGGCTCCCGGGACAGCGGCGGCCGAGCCGAGCCCACGCCCGGAGACGCCCCCTCCTCACGGCCGGGCTGTGGGGAGCAGACCCCCCTGCCCGGGGCTCCCCGGGCCCCGGGGCCGGGCCGGTTCCTCGAGCGAGCGCGCCGCGGCCAGGCCGGCCCGGAGGGACGTCACGGGGCCGGTCCGCGCCCGGTTTCCTCGAAGGCGCCGCCGCTGCCGCTGCCAGGGTGACGCCGCGGCTCGGGGCTGAGCCGCTCCGTGTCCCCCGCCCCGGCATCCCCCGGCACCCTCCGGCCGGGCCGGGCCCGCCGCGCCGCCAGCGCCGCCGCCTTCCTGCGGGGGCGGAGGAATTTGGCTCCCGGCCCCGGGGCTGCAGCCGGACACCGCCGGCAGCGCGGCCACCCCGCACCGCGGGGACAACGGGACCGGGAACGGGAACGGGGACGGGAATGGGAACGGGAACGGGAGCGGGAGCGGGAGCGGGAACGGGAAAGGGAACGGGAACGGGAGCGGGAGCGGGAACGGGAGCGGGAGCGGGAACGGGAACGGGAACGGGAACGGGAACGGGAACGGGAACGGGAACGGGAACGGGAACGGGAGCGGGAGCGGGAACGGGAGCGGGAGCGGGAGCGGGAACGGGAACGGGAACGGGAACGGGAACGGGAACGGGAACGGGAACGGGAGAGGGAACGGGAACGGGAACGGATGGATGGATGGATGGATGGATGGATGGATGATGGATGGATGGATGGATGGATGGATGGATGGATGGATGGATGGATGGATGATGGATGGATGGATGGATGGATGATGGATGGATGGATGGATGGATGGATGGATGGATGATGGATGGATGGATGATGGATGGATGGATGATGGATGATGGATGATGGATGGATGGATGGATGGATGATGGATGGATGATGGATGGATGGATGATGGATGGATGGATGGATGATGGATGGATGGATGGATGGATGGATGATGGATGATGGATGGATGGATGGATGGATGATGGATGGATGGATGGATGGATGATGGATGGATGGATGATGGATGGATGGATGATGGATGGATGATGGATGGATGGATGGATGGATGGATGATGGATGGATGATGGATGGATGGATGGATGATGGATGGATGGATGGATGGATGGATGGATGGATGGATGGATGGATGATGGATGGATGATGGATGGATGGATGGATGGATGGATGGATGATGGATGGATGGAGGGCTCACCCTTGGGGGTGAGTCCATGGGTGGCACAGGTGTCACTGTGGCACCCAGCGTGTCCCCATGGCACAGCCCCATGTGCCAGTGCCCACGGGACGTGCTGTGCCCACGGGCAGAGCTGGCACCTGCCTTTACGTGGCCCTGAGAGCGTCCTATTGGTGGTCTGGGGGTGCAGCCCCCCGGTGCTGCCCGTGGTGTGTCCCCACGCTCTGCCAGTGGCACATGCCAGCCCTGCCTGTGGCACAGCGTGGCACTGTCCCCAGCCCTGCCGCTGGCCTTGTTCCACTGTCCCCAGCCCTGCCGGTGGCACAGCGTGGCACTGTCCCCAGCCCTGACATCATCACTGTCCCCAGCCCTGCCGCTGGCCCTGTCCCGGTGTCCCCAGCCTTCCAGGTGGCCTTGTCCCGGTGTCCCCAGCCCTGCCGGTGGCCCTGTCCCGGTGTCCCCAGCCCTGCCCGGTGCCCGGCCGGTCCTGGGGGGGACCGTTCCCATTCCGAGCCCCCCCCCGGGGGTGAGCAGGGTGGGTCCGGCCTGGCACAAGGCGGGGACGCCCCCAGCCCCTCCAGCCCCCGCAGCCCCCCCAGTCCCCGTCCCCCCCAGCCACCCCAGCCCTCCCGGACCCACCAGGCCCCCCCAGCGCCCCCAGGCCCCCCAGCCCCGCTCCCGCTCCCGCTGCCGACGTGGAGGCGGCGCCGGGGACGTGTCAGGGCCGGTGCGAGCCAAGGGCATCGCCCGCCCGCCCCGAATTTCGGTGCGGGCCCTCGGCCGCCCCGCCACGGGACGTGTCCGGCCCCCGCCGCGTCCCCCCACCGCCGCTGTCCCGCGTGGGGACACGGCTGCTCCCGGGGCCCCCCCGTGCTCCCCGTTGCTGTGCTCGGTGCGGGACCCCCGGCACCGCGGGCGCACCGGGAGCCCCCCGGCCCCGCCGTGCCTCAGTTTCCCCTCACACTGTGCAGGGCCAGGGACGAGCCCGGCGGGCGAGTTTGGGTTTTTTTTTTTGGTGGTGGGGAGGGAAAGACTTTTAAAGTTTTCTGGCTTTGCCCCAGTTTCATCCCTTTGAAACCCTTTTGTGGGGTGGCCGCGCCCCCTCCCCGCAGGCCTCGCCCACACGGACACACCACGCCCAGTTCGCCCAGTTCCCCCTCCCAGTTCACCCCCCACACCCCCCCGCTCTAATTCCACGACGGCCGAGTCCCACTGCCAAAGGGACGTGGCGGGACGGGGGGGACACCGTGGGGAGGGGGGGACACCGTGGGGAGGGGGGGGGACACCGTGGGGAGGGGGGACACCGTGGGGAGGGGGGGGACACCGGGAGGACCGGGGGGGACACAGAAGGGACCAGGGG